GCGATTTTTTCGGGATAAGCCGTTGATTGAAACGATTGAAACAATGGCAACCAATCTAATGACAAGTGATCCCTGGTCCGTTGAAACTGACGATTGAGGGTTCTGAACGTAGCAGCAGGCATGACCTCGGCCCAAGTGACACTGACCTTAAGCCCATGCAGACACCGGCAACAGCAATGCCAAGCAATGACAACTTTCGCACCTGTATATGCAAGCACACCACCCCTTTAGACACTTGTTGGCCCATTGGGAGACATTTTGAGACATCTCGAGCAATTTTGAGCAATTTTGAACAATTTTGTGAGCAACTTTTGAGCAATTTTGAGCAGTTTTTTCGGGCCAGCTTGGGTCATCTCGAGCAATTATGAGGATTTTTGTCGGGCATGTTTGGGTCATGCCGAGCAATTCTGAACAATTTTTGGAAGCACGATATGGCATTGTTGACCTTGGACAGTGCTCAAAATGTCTCAATTGAGGCTGCTTTGAGACATCTTACTTTGGTTGAAAAAGGTAGCCGATGTAAACCCCACGGATCTAGACCCTAAAACGAGATCAGTGATCTATGTTAGGTTGCTGTTACCCTTTTTTGGGTAATTATAACCATGGTGAGTTAACCCCCATAAGTTGGGATATAAACCCTATATATTATATATTATATTACATCTATTATCACTGGAATTGCGCTTCCAAGTAGACTGACTGGCAGAGCCCCTTTTTGGCGCATGTTTTTTATTTATATAATGCAACGGAGAAGGGGAAATTTGGGTAGGATGTGACATGGTTATTGCTGGTTTTACCACTTTCTGTTTGCAGGGTTCATGTATATGGGAACATCCATTAAAATGAATGCATTGTTTTTTTTTGCTGCTTCCTTCCCGCCCACGCACCTCTCGGGTAGCTGAGCGATGAGCGACACATCAAATACCGTTGGAATCAAGGAAGATACCAAGTAATTTTAAAGGGGAAATCTTATGGGAAGCGCCGCCCTCAAGAGCATGGGTGACAATCCCAAACCAACAGGCAGCTTTAGACCGAAGGCAGAAGGAACCGAAAAATTCCGCAACTTTACCCAAACCAAGGGGGTTGAAATGAGTACAGTTGGGCGCAGTGATGACCTTGCAACCGTTGCGCAAAGAGAGAAAGAAAGGCACACACTGCACGATGCAGTGCTGGATATTGAGTGACTGAACTCGATCGGGGGAACGTAGAACAAAAATCGTAATAGACCAATATACCAAGGTCCAGATGAATGCATTGTTTTCAACCGTAAAAGGGGCGTCTAGCAACCAGAACTGTAATAAATTTGTTTTTTTCATATGTATTTTTGTGGGATGAGGACGACTATATTTTTGTTGATATGATTCCATCACGCGTATTCCTTCTCTCTGTGATTTTAGAACAATTTTGAGTGGCAGTGCGGCAGTATGGTAGATGGTGGACATTCAAACTAGCCTGGCATGGCACAGAATCATGTGTGAACCATTCCGAGCCTATTTTGAAATCAATTCCATGCCGGTCCGTACCCCATTTGTTTGTTGATCATTATCTAGAATTCTAGAATCTAGAACCATTTATCAAAAAAAAAGAATAACACATACCTCTCTATTCTCTATCAAAGATTTCATGCTGTTGTGTTGACATAAAAGTATGCCTATCTATCAAAGCAAACAAGCATTTCCGCTTGCATTGAACGGCATTTTCAACTATCTCAATGATCTCAGCTGAGACCGTTGATAGCAGTTAAAAACCTATGATTTGTATCAACCCAGTATGTATTATGTATCTTTAAGTATACGCATACCAGTAACAATACAGTAACGCCCAAAAAATCACCGTAAATTCCCTTATTAAAATCAGTGGTAAATCGCTGTTCTATCCTTTTTGGGGGTTTCCGAAAATGGGGTTACCCCAAAACCATGGGCTTCAATACATTTAAATGCTCACCCATGACTTGGATGAAAATAGGAGGGTACACCTATGACTTAGGAAACCTCCATTCATGATGGTTTTTTTAATGGTTAGTGATGGTTAATACAGTTAATGCCCTGGTTTTCCTGGTGGTGATTAATGATGGTGAATGATAATCATATCCCATGATATTCCCATGATATTCCCCATGATTGTTGGTTGCATCCCATCTTAATCCCGTGCCGAGTCAATGGGACACGATTTTCTATGGAGTATAATTGGATTATAACGATTAACTAGGATTAACTATTTAATCATTATAGTCCATTATCATCATTATCATCATTATCATCCAACAACAACAACAAATCATCATTATAATCACTACAAATAATTTTGGATTATAATAATAATTAATGATTAACTATCCAATCATTATAATCCATTATAATCATCCATCATTATCCATGGATAATTATCCATTATAATCCATTATCCATTCATGATTATGATGATTATTATCCATGGATCATTATTATCATCCAATCATTATAATGTAAGCTGCCTAATAGTAAATCCCCCCTAAATAAAATATTTTATTTTAAATGGAGCTAATTGACTTTTAGTATTGGAGAAAAATTGGATTTGCGGAAAAATGTTTCTACTATTGACAAGATATCACTGTTGGCTTTTGAGCTAGATGCTACTAACCAGCTACCCTCTGGTTATGTCAACAGTTTGCTATTGAAAATGGCCATTAATGTAGATTTTCCCATTAAAAATGGTGGATCTTTCCATAGCTACGTTAGTTTACCAGAGGGTATTTCCATGTTTTTTTTCGGCCCAAGGTCGAGATCACCGGGAGGACAGGCGCCCCTCAGACAGTCGCAGGACGTCCCGGGACGTCCCGGGGTCCCGGTGATTTTTGTCGTTGAACGAAAATCCCATAGCAAAAGCCAAGGTGATTAAGCGTTATATGTTGATATTCATGGTTGATAACTATGGTTAATGATGGTTAATGATGGTTATTAATAATATGTTAATATATCTTATTCCTTGCCAGCCATATACCTTGCCAGCCATTATAAATCATTATACAAATGGTATGTGAAACAAATTCTACCAGTTATAGCAGCTTATACCAGACCAAAACCAGGAAACAATGACCAGTTCTGGACCAGTTGAATCCAATTGATCAAGGGCAGAGGTGGCCAGCAACGAGCCATGAAGGAACCATAACCTGGTTGATGAACGATACATAGTTGATATTCATGGTTGACAACTATGGTTAATGATGGTTAATGACGAATAATAATGATATGTTAATACATGTTAGTCATAAAAATCATGGGATAATGGTGGTTAATGATGGTTAATAATGGTTAATGATGTTTCCAACCAGAGTATATTGAGTATATCAACCATGAATCACCATCGTTAGTTGTTTGGTAAATGATGGTGGTTTTCATCGTTTGGAACGTTACCTGGGTTCTTGGGGATCATGAACTAAGCCATGGCTGGAAACCTTTGAAAAATCCACGAATGGAACGCGGGGAATGGATGGCGACCCCATGGCTCCATTGTTTTGAACAGTTGGAAGACCAACACAAAATTGGGTATGGGTCAATACCTATAGATATATTTTTAATGGGATGAACATCCATAAATCCCAGCTATTTTGGGGTTCACTAATGGTACCAGGGTTTTGACACACTGCCAATTGGTTTTCGGACTATGAAGCGTGGAAGGATTTTCCAGCACGCCATGTTTGAAAAAACCGGAGGGTTTTCCATCGCAAGTGACCTGTCTACGAAGAATGTCACTTGACAAGTCAACGAAGACTATTGATGATTTTGCGCCTCATTTTCCTAGCAATTGAGATATGCCACAGCTGCGATGTAAATATGCATCCGGAGCCTTTTGGATCCATAGAATTCCTGGCATGGGTCCAACAATGCACAATGGTACGTACGCAGCAGATGAATTTTGGCAAAAGAAACCACGGATTCCTGGATTGTGCCTTGGGAAATAGTTTTGTCTTCCTATGATCTGTGCTTCGTGTGCCAATAATTCGTCGGTGGTATGTTATCCATCGGTTTCCAAGAAAAACATGAACATGTCATCTAGAAACATATTTGTGCACGTGGTGAGGTGTTTTGGATTTGCCACATTTACTTTTTGATACTTTTTGTGGAAAACCTCACTGTGCTCAACAAACACGCCCTAATGAGGGGCTATCAACCACCAACACCAACCTCCCCATTGTTTGGTCGTCGCCATGAAAGAAGCCTTGCTGTCTGGCAGAGTAAGGCAGAAACACAGCGACGCTTGGCAGGTTTGCCATGGAGACAACAGGGGTACATAACCAATGATGATCTGCTAGCCGATTTCACATGTTTGTGTTTTTCCCCCATAGATGTCCTTTTCCCATTGGTTGGTTGATTAATAGAGGGGTTTGAAGAAACCCCCTTTAACAGGTAAATGATGATAGATGGTATACCAAACCGGCCCTTCTATTTTTACCAAAAGGACATTATTGTTTTCCCCATCAACTGAACTAATAACCCTGAAGGACTTTGATTTTTGGGGATGGTTTGGCCCTTCCAAAGCCATTCAATTCCCATGATCATTAAAATCTCATGAAGATCTGGGTTGGATTATCACCATCATGGTGGTTCTCCATGGTTATCCCATGAATATCCCATGAATATTGCATAGAACAATCACCATCAGTATCCCATTAGTATATGTACAGTACATGATTAAGTCATATTCATTTATATGATCTTACATCCATGATTTCGGATAAACAACTATTTATATACCCTCTGGTTATTTAACATAGCCATGGAAAATGGCCCATTTATAGATGATTTTCCCAGCTACAAACCTCCATTTATGGTTAGGATTTTCCATGGCTATGTTAGTCATTACCAGATGGTAATCGGCCTTAATTCACATTAATAGCCATTGGTAGATGGAAGGTTTAAAAATGGGCCATCATGTTAAATTACCAGATGGTACCAAAAATAATCCCATTATAATATCCACAATATTCCCATTATAATTCACATTAAATTTGAAAAAACTCCATGAATTTTGGTCATCCTCATCCCAAGGGTCCTAAGGAAGGCCTGGAGGATGCGCTGAACCCTGGCTTCGCCCTCCCCCTGACCGATGCGGACGACGCCTGCCCGGCGCACGTGCGGAGCACTTCGCTGCCGAACGCCACGCTGAACCTCGTCCTGGCGGTGCTGGGGGCGGGGCAACTCACTCTGCCCTATGCCATGGGACAGTGACCTGGAGGAGAACTGCGCTGGGTGGTTTCATGGTTTCAAAATGTTTCAAACATGAATGGATTATTTATTTTCCATTTCATAAAGAAAGGGATAATTAATCCTTCCCATTGACTCCTATTTTTCAAGATGGTTAAAATTAACCAGCAACCAGAGAAAAAAAATGGCAGTTGAATCGAAAAGTTGGACACAAAATGAAGAAAACTGCTTGGTTGAAGTACCATCTGGTTATGACTAACATAGCCATGGAAAATCACAATTTTTAATAGGTAAGCCATCTATAAATGGGCCATCTATACCATGGCTATGTTAGTCATAACCAGAGGGTAAATGGAATATGGGAATAGACAGTGACCTGGAAAAAAGTCGAGTCAAACCGTTTGGGGATTTCACCACCAAATTTTCGTCAGAAGATGTGGAGAAATACTTGGCGGAAACGGTTCTGAGAGTTTAACCTGAGAAATCACCATCATAAAGAGGGGGTTATACCTGAAGAAAACCATCAAACATACGTAAAAAAAAGGTATATTTACAGTGCTCAGATGAATGTTGTGTTTTACCAGCAACTATAGATGGACTATTGGGAATATTCTAAGAACATTTTTTGGTCCAGCGACCTGGGAGAAATGGAACACTTCGCTAACGCCAAGGAGCCCATTGATGGTGGATGGTGGATGGGCCAGCGAAATCCTAAAAACCAGTTGGTATATGGTTGGGAAATCCCCTTATAATCTCATTACCCTCTGGTAATTTAACATAGCTATGGAAAATCACCATTTTTAATGGGTAAATCCACTATGAATAGCCATTTTCAATAGCTATGTTAAATTACCAGAGGGTATTTTCAATGTTGCATAGTTACCTTTAACGGTTGCCAACTGGTGCAGGATTTCGCAACCATCCACAGTATCATATAAGTATAATGGGGATATACGTATACTATATCCATCATTGGAGTGGCAATGTGAAGGTGGCAATGGGAAATCCCGCTTTTAATGGGAAGCGCATCTATAAAGGGTGGATTTTCCATTTCTATGTTCTAATACCATAGGGCATAGGGGTTTCCTGTAAAATTCCTGTCGACCTTAAATTTTGGAGAGTTGCGACTGGCGATCACTGTCATCTGCAATTTGGAAATGTTTCGATCTGTTTGGGTTCAAATTCGGTTCAAATCCAAATATATTGAACATTCATGTTGATGCTTGAAAATGGTGCTAAATTATTTAACAATTATTTACAAAATCCAAACATTCATTTATTACTCAATTTTTCATGCTGATTCGTTGATTCCTGTTTAGTGGGCCGATGTTTGTTTCTTGCACCAAGGTTGGGTCTCGCACTGGGCATCACCTGTGACTGGGTGCTTTAAAAAGGACATTGACATCTTTACATATTTGATGGTAATCTTGCTGGGTTTCTTAAGATTTCGCAATTTGTTTCTGGTAATATTTGGCAATTTTTTTTGAGTACCTCCAGTAAGATAACATAGATATGAGTCTTACTGGTGCTTAGCAGGGAATGGATGGGACTGGGGGTTGCTGGGATGATTATTACTAGTGATTATGGATCATTCCCGGTTTAGCACCAGTAAGGAGTGCTCATATGAGCAGGGGAAACAACCATGGATTCACTCATCCCTTTTTGCCGGGGCTGGTGTTTTTTTCACTTCACGTGGATTCGACCAGAAAAAAATACCAGAAAGCGATCAGGTGGGCTCACGGTTTCTTAACATTGTTCCATTGTTACTATCTTCTTTATTAGTAGTATATATATATATATGTATATATTATATAATCATGATCTGGTTGGTGGTTTAAATCATTTTTTGTTTTCCAGAATATATGGGATAATCATCCCATCTGACTTTCATATTTTTCAGAGGGGTAGGTATACCACCAACCAGTATTAGTAGATATTAGTAGTATATATTATATTAAATATAATCATTATTGTTGTTATCATTGAAGTTACTTTACTTTGAGCGATCCCCACCATGACATTATTTTGTCATATTCTGACATCTCATCTGGAAGTATATATGGCACATATTTTCTGACATTCTATTCCGGCATTCTATCTGACACTCTATTCTGACATTCTATTCTGGCATTCTATATGGCATCCTTTCTGGCATCTATTCTGACATGTTCTCTGGCATTCTATCTGGCATTCATTCCGATATTCTATGTGGCATCTATGACATTCTTTCTGGCATCTATTCTGGCATTCTTCTGTCTGACATTCTATTTTAGCAAGAAAGCAACCTGATATATGCCATATCTTATGATATTTTTTCTGGCATATGTATCTGTCATATTTTCTGACATTCTTTCTGGCATTCGATCTGGTATATCTTGGGAGATTCTTTGTGGTTGAGGTCCGGCGGGGAAGACTTTGCAGAGCTTGCAGTTGAGGTCCGGCGGAGGAAGGAGGATGAGGAGGCGGGCCAGCTGACATAAAATCTAACAACCTTCACCTGACAGGTGGGGAACAAGTAAAAGTCATGAAGACATTTTTTGATGGGGATAGACCATTTCTGGAGAGCTTGTTTCGGTACCACCTCCATGGTTTCCTGATGTTTGCTCATTTGAACCTAGCAACCTGAATTTGTTTTTTTTTTAAATCTCGGTTCTATCATACAGAACCAACTTTCCCTCCAATTACTTTTAACGTTTTTTTTTGGGAGAGTCCCGACTTTTTGACAGTCACCCACCGTTGGTTCTGAGGCTGCGCGGTGTTTGTTGATACTTTTTTTTTCAAAAAATCTACCTTTACCCACTGAAGCTTCTTCATCTTCAGCCCGTCCTATTTCGATGTTTTGAATACTCCAAGTCATGGCGGTTTTGTTTATTTTTTGGGGTGCCCCAAATCATCGTCAGTCGAAGATTTTAGTATTGAAACCCATGGTTTGGGGTAACCACAAATTTTAGGAAACCTCCCAGTCATGATCTTCTGCTCTGAATACACCCAATGAAAAAAAACAAAACAATATTTTCGGAGATTTTACGGACAGAGAAATCGGACTAATCCTTGACCACCCACTGAAGTTTCTTTGTCTTGGCCCTGGTATTTCCAGATGTACATACAAAAGATTGCCGCAGTTGTGCCAATCGCTATTTGTTTTGACTGAATTTCAACTCCAGCATCCTTCATGATCACCAAGATCAGTTCATTTTTACAACTTCTATCTTCAACTCCGTCAGTTTTTTCTGCCAAGCAGACTTCTTCTCTACCAAGCAGTCGGTCCGAGGTTTGTTGATCTTCACCTTGTTCTCCATGCACTCTTTGAAGACCCTGACCTTGTACGAGCTGCACTTCGCACCCAGCAACTGCCTGGAGACCTATGCGGAGCTGGTGATTCGGGTCCTCGGAACACCGGGTCGAGCGATTTGCAACGCGCTGCTGGTGATGTCGCGCGGCGTTCCGGGGTCCGGGGTCCATACCTAGATGGGCCATGGTTTGTTGTTAATTGGTACCCTCTGGTAAACATACAAAAAGCTATTGAAAATGGCCATTTACAGTTGATTTTCCCATCAAAAGTGGTGATTTCCATAGTTATGTTAGTTTACCAGATGGTAAATAGATAAATATAGATAATGATTGGATATGATTGGGATGTAAATTGAAGTATATCTCAGTTACGAAGCACGAATCGCTAATCCCATGGCACATCCAAGTAAGATCAAGTAAGAATAGGATGGGATGAGATAATATGAACAGTTCTACTGGGATAGACATAACCAACAATATGTGGATTTATCGTGATTTATCCCAAGTACTCCGAAATGGGGATTTATTTCCAGCTGACTGCCATTTGAATCTCCAAATATGATGATAAACCAAGAAATTTCATGAAACAGAAATCAGGAAATTGCTAAAAAAAATGGGGGCAGACCAAAATGTGGTCAACGCTCATTTTTTTTTGTCTCTGTGGCTTGTCTGTATGATAACTTTATCAGGCTGCGACTGCTGGAGGACTTATGATTCCTTGGATTTGCATCCCCAATTCATCTGTGTTGTTTGAAAACAGCCACGGTTGTGTTTTTTATATCTGGTTGATCTGTGGTTTGATGGATTCATCTGTGGTTTAATATCTGGTTATCTTGGATATCTGTTGATATCTAGTTTTAACATCCGTTCGCCTGGGTTTTTGAAATGGTTATGGATCAATACCAAAAAATCACATGTTTTTTCGCAGCAAAAATCTAGGGGTGACATGGACCCATCTCCCAATGCCGATACTGGAGGTGTGCCAGATCAGTACTTAGATGGGCCTTTGAGCCAACTAATTAGTCTTCAAATGGATTGTCATTGGGATATAGTGATACATATGGGGGTTTCCATAAATGGTGGTACCCCCAAATGGATGGTTTACAATAGAAAATACCATCTAGAAATGGATGATAACCAGGGGTACCCCTATTTCAGGAAACCCCCATATAGTGGTTCATAAGCCTGTTGCTACCCGGGAATCGCTATTTCATGCTAATGCAATGGCCCTAGGTATGTTTCATGGAGGACGATAACGAGCTCACCACAACATTACTCCAAATCACATGATTCGTAGGTTAGTCGAGGTAATCCCAAAGTGACCAAATGTTTCAGGCTGTTTCAGGTTTAAGAACTATTACAACTCATCCAATGTGTGCTGATTTTTGATGATCGGGGGCCGCAAACTTTGTTTCGAGCTGCCATTTGCCATATTGTCCCAGGTATGCCTGGGGTGGCGCAGTGGCGTTCTTGGTGATTTTGAAGGGAGAATCGGAGTTCCTGTGGTGCAACTATTATGACTGTCACCATCATCCGGAGCAGTGGCATGTGACGATTCTAGGATCAGATGTCGATGCTTGGTGGCATGTCGATGCTGGATGTTCGAAACACCTGCGTCCAGTTGCGAAACTCGCCGTTGCGTAGTGGAGATTATCATCATCCGTGAACTGGGAATCCCGTTCTCAACCAACCAGGATTGAATGGAATGAAAGGTCAGTTGCCCTCTGGTAAACTAACATAACTATGGAAAATCACAATTTTTAATGGGAAAACTCACTATAAATGGCCATTTTCAATAGCTATGTTAGTTTACCAGAGGGTGAACCTTGCTCACTCCCGATTGAAAGGCAGTGAGGAATGTTCAACTCGCACCAGGCTCTACGTTTCACTGCCCTGTTTGTTCAGACAACAGGGGGGGCTGTCATTGTACCAAACCCGTTCATGTCCCAATTAAAATCCATTAAAATCCGACAAGATATCATGAATTTTTATCATATCCTCATATATAGTTTCAATTTTCCATTGAATTTCTATGTGACCCCAATTTTTTCATCCCCAATTGTTCATCCCCAATAGCAGTCATATCCCAAGCAAAACGTGTCTAAAAGGGTGTGTCTGAAAGTGGGGTATATCTTCCAAAAAGGACAATGATGATAAACCACTGGACTTTGGGGTACACTGTTTTCAGACAAACTCGAATACATCTCATTATACTAGTTACTAGTTGGATGATAGGTTTTCCCATTATAGGTTACCCATTATAGGTTATGATATGTTATGATAATCTACCACAAGCCAGGTAGTGCTCTTGTTTCAGAACCAATCACCAAGGGTATATTGACCATCAATCACCGTTTTTCACCATTCACCATTGTTAAGTTCCATTTTTGGATCAACCATTATTAAGTGGTCAGCAGCTATTAGCATGATTAACCACTATCGAATTATTGAAAACCATTAGCACAATGGGTATACCTATATATTAACCATACATCATTAACCATTATTAACCATTATTAACTATCAACCATTCACAGCCACTGATAACCATTATTAACCATTCATTATATATATATATCTCTATCTATCTATCTATCTATCCATCTGTCTGTCTGTCTGACTGACTGTCTGTCTGTCTGTCTGTCTATCTATTAATACATCAACCATGATGAAAGCCCCAGGTGGCCGGCAGTGGCCAAGTTATTCTGCTGCTGCTGGCGCTCTTCGTCCTCTGGCCCTTGAGCTCCCTGCAGGACTGATTTAATGGTGATATTTATTATTGGACTTTAAAGGATAATAAATGGTAGATGTATGGGGGCTGATTATATTGTATATTTGGTGGTTTTATGTTATGGCGATATCATGATTTAGTATGGTTTAATGTGGTTTAATATGGTTTAATAGGGATAATAATGGGATCATGATGGGATATTAATTGTGATATGTATGGGATTCTAATGGGATATGGGATTTTAACGAAATATTTATTGGAGTTTAATGGGATATGATTTGTTTCATCTTTATTTTGGAACTTTAATGCATAAAAAAGCAACCATTACAGGGATGCAATGGGATCACAATGTGGATATAGTGGGATCAAACCAACAAAATCAACAATATGATGTTTGGGTGTATCTTAAAATGGGGTATCCCCCCCCGAACAGAAAGGATAATTTGAATAAGGCATCTAACGGAAAATTCTGATCGGCCAGTGCATAAAGTAGGTTTGCCCAATATTCTACCACAAATAAGGAAAACATCATGCCTGGCAATGTTCTTTTGCAGGGTATCTAAGATTGGCCACCATACAAAGGGCTGAAGCAAAGATCTTGGTAAATCACCACAAATGATGGTTAGTAAGTGGAGTGGAGTATCTCAAGGTAAATATTTTTTGGTTTGATGAACTGTGATTATTGTGATGATGGGCAAGACACTTCAAAAAATATCCCGGCAAGAGACCCCAAAGCCCAAACAGTGTGGGGGAATGGGAGGATAATGTCGGATAATGTTGTTGATGATGATGATGGTGATGATGATGATGATGATGATGATGATGATGATTGCGACGACGACGACGACGACGACGACGAAAGTGGATCATACAAAGTTTGGTATGGTCCATATATAGGTGTGCTTTATTGATCATATATATATATATACACATATTTCTCATACGTACACACACATAAATATATACGTGTGTATATCCGCTTAAATCCCACTAAGATCCTTATATATATATATACATATCCCATCAAATCCCGTACTATATATCCCAGTACATATGCCATACGTACAGAATATAGACATATATAATCCATACATACTACCGTATACCGGTATACCCATTGTACTAGTGGTGATTAGTGGTATATTCATTGGTTAACCATGATTTCCCCGTTGACCATACATGATACCCTCTGGTAATTTAACATAGCTATAGAAAATCACAATTTTTAATAGGTAAACCATCTATAAATGGGCCATTTTCCATAGCTATGTTAGTTTACCAGAGGGTAACCAATATAAGTGGTGTATATTTTAACCAACAATGGGATATAATTCCTCTTGATAGTTGATTTTCCCAGCTACAAAATGGTGATTTCCCCTAGTTTTTTGTAGGTTTTTTGTATGTTTACAAGAGGCTAAATCCCATTTTCCTATGGTTTTCCTAGGGTTTTCCCAGCTATAAACCTCCATCTTCCCATGGTTTTCCTAGGGTTTTCCTGGGGTTTTCCCAGCTATAAACCTCCATCTTCCCATGATCCGCATACGGAGGACCTGTGTTTCATGAAACGTTTCAGCTGGTTGGGCTGCGCGGCGGCCCTGATCATCACCGGGGCGACCTGTTGGACGTCAGGTGTCGCTCCGGGATCGATGGGGCGGCTGCTGGAGGTGGGGTTGGCTGGGGGCCGGTGGCCAATCCCCCCGAGATGACGATATGGGATAATAACTAGATATTATAGGATGGTATTATTGGCCCATTATCCCAGCCTTAGATATTATTATACTCATTATTACCATCCTATTATTATCCATTTAAGGCTGGGATAATGGGATAAGAATGGTAAACCCTTAGAAAATTGGATAATCATAGGATATAAATTTAGGATAGTAATAATGAGTTATTCCTAACCATGCTTTAAGACAAGATGGTGAAAACTATGATTAGGATTTCATGCGGTACATAGGGGATAATGCCAAGTCCGTAGAAATCACCCCCTCTAGAACGGAAAAATCCACCCAATTAAAAAACTAGGGTTTGTCATGCATAACAACAACCAACCTGCCTACCAACCTGCATGGTAAAAAATTCAACTGAAATCAATTTACTTTCAATTGATTATCCGTTTAAATCTAAAGGATAAGTAACAGGGGGGTCGCACATGCTGATTAATGGGGAGGGACCAACCCAGAATAGTATTGCCAAAAGGTTTTTGCCATGTGGGTGTTGATTAATTCGGGGATGCCTATTAATATGAATTCAATTTTATTAACATTAGACATGGAATATGAGTGGAATAGCAGCAAAAAATGGATGTAGAAGTGTTAACCAACAAGATTGGGTGTATAATGACATTTTTTTGGAGGGATTTGTAGGGAATTTTCACTGTTTTGGGGGTAACCTTCCCAATTAGTGGTCAGGATTATTAATCCGGGTTGACATTAGCTTGTTCTAGCTGGATGGCAATGGATAGTAAATGCGGGAAACACATATAAATTAAAGATTGTATAGATAGGGGGAGCGGAACCCAAGGCAAAAAAAATGCATTTATCCAGCAAATTTGTGATTTATCCAAGAACGACAAGGATTTGACCAATGAATTCTGGGAAAACTTGTTTAAATTCACAATAATGGGATATATAATGATATATATATATATGGATACATGGGATATGGGGATAAAACCAACTTGATATGATACTTGGGTTTGTCTGAAAATGGGTACACCAAAGGTAAATGTTCATTAACCATGGGGTTTGTAGGTACCCTATGTTCAGACAAACCCATATTATGCGCGGCTGGTGACGGAATCAATACCTGGCTTTATACCATAATTGTGATCTATGAAGGCATACATATCTTATTTATAGTATACCTATAATAGCTGGTTGGTGGTTTGGAACATTTTTTATTTTTCCATATATTGGGAATAATACTCCCAACTGACTAATATTTTTCGGAGGGGTTGAAACCACCAATCAGTAGCAATTATTACCCTTTTTTTACACAGTTGTGACACCAACATATGGGTTTGGCCAGACATGTGAGAGTATAAACCCACATAAACCAACCATCTTTGGGACTTGGGATATGCTGAAGGGGTACAGCCCACCAGAGGACTTTTTGTGGGGAACTGGTGTTTTTTCCATTGAATCAAGTGGGAAATACATTGGAACATGATATTCAACTGGTAAACTGTTACATAACTATGGAAAGATCCACCATTTTCTAGCTGGGTAAATCCACTATAAATCACCATTTTCAATAGCTATTTTGACATAACCAGAGGGTATTCAACTAGGGATGTTTTCAAGGGGATCTTCCAGTCTCCAAGCTTCAACGGGTGATGCTTCAGACCCGTGGGTTGAGGGCTGAAGTTTTGGGTTCAGCACAGCCCAGTATCAAACCATATACCCTCTGGTAAACTAACATAGCTATTGAAAATGGGCATTTCTAGTGAGTTTTCCCATTAAAAATGGTGATTTTCCATAGTTACGTTAGTTTACCAGAGGGTACTAAATCATTTAAATTCTTTCTCGATCATTCTATGTCATATTATATCATGCTGTATATAAAGCTTTATATCATATTATGCGATGTAGCATACTATACCATATATCATACTAGTTTGTACTAATTTATATCCAGTCAAATCTGATAGTATAGATACAGCTATACAATCTTTTCAAACCTAGTGCAAAAAACACCGGAATCTATAGTAATCTGTACAAAACTATACAATAAAATTTGGCATCCTATATTCCATACTTTACTTATCTATACTTATTTACATCTCCTATTTGTTTTTAAATCTCACTTCTGTGACTTCGAACAGTCGTCACAGGTCATGCGGAATGACCTTGCAGCGCCTCTGGCGCAGACGTCTGCGCTGAAGGTGAGACGTTTTTTTGGGGATCGAAAAAAGTATTCGTTGTGCTACAACTGAATCTAAATATGCATATCTTATATGTGTGTATGATTTATCACAACATCCCATAATAATAACATTATACTATAGACATATATCATTATATATATATACATATAGTTACACATGATATAGATACAAGTTAATGCAATAAAAGCAAATCATCCATAGCACATCTCAAGGCACGACTTACGTCGTGGCTCAGGTGGCAGCCTCTCTGCCGCTACTGTCGTTTTCTTTGAACTCCTCCTGGGCCTTCATTCCCATCCTCTGCACCTTGAAGGCTGGCTTGGGAAGGTTGGGAAGATCAAGACATGAATCAGAAGTGTACCTGTAATCTACAAAAATAGCGATCTATCCATCTAGCTCTAGGAATTAGAATATGAAATAATATGAACATATCTTTCAAGCTGTATCTATCATATCTATCTATCCATTTACTCTCTATCGAGATCATATGTTCCATAAATGTCTACCTCTAACATCTACCTCTTCCAAAAAAAGATCTCGAAGAAATGCCACAATTTTTCTATAGATCAGACCTCCGGAAGATCACGAGAGCAGCTGGAATTCCCATTGAATATTACCATATTAATATAGCTATACTAGGCAGTATTGAACCATTACTATTTCCAGTAATGTAGTATACAATAGTAATGGTTATTGTAATAACCATTACTATTTTCCAGTAATATAGTAGCTATAGACAGTATTGCTCTATAGTAATCCAGTAAATACAGTAAAATCTAGGTTCAATACTGTCTATAGTACGTATATTTAAACAATAGAAAATATAGCAAATGTCATATAGCTCTTGTCTATGTAAATAGTATTAATCTACATTTTTTTGTGTAACTATATAACTGTATGTTAACATACTATAGTGATATTTATTGACCATAGTATATGTACAATATATATAATATATGTTAATACAATTATAATATATTACAATAGTAATTTTATTATAGGATAATAGGATACTGATAATATAATTTGACATACCAATTTTGATGATAATAGTACCAATATATAATATAATAATAATTGGTACTATTTTTGGTATAATTTGATAATATTGATAGCAATCGGATAATATGACAGAAAACATGATCAATGACAATATTATTTGATCATTGGTACTGGTCTTTTATTCAAATTTCGGTTGTGTTTGTAGGTCTTTTCTTTGTTTTCTCTGTTCTATTTCAACATGATCAATTTTCATATTGTAAATGCACAACATTTTGTGTCATCTTACTTTAGGACCTTTTGATGTTTTGTGAACATGACTATTTTGATATATTTTGATAGCGTGCTTCATATTATGCACATTTTTGCACTGGTAATTTAACATAGCTATTGAAAATCACCATGTTTCATGGGAAAATCCACTATACATGGGCCATTTTCCATGGCTATGTTAAATTACCAGAGGGTATGCACTATGACCAAACTCATCCACTATAGCTGTAAGATAGTGACACTCTCAAGGCCGGATTGAACATGTCCCACAAAGTCTAAGTTTTTGGACACTTACGACACCTGGGAAGGGCATTTTTTTTTAGATCTATTTTGTAGAAAACCCGTATTTGGTAGTTTTTGATGATTCTTGTTTTGTATTGTGTAGTGGGCAGCCATTTTGGGTTCCATAGACTTCCATTTTCTGGTGCATTTGGGGACACTCTCTTGGATGGAATTGTATTCTGTAGACCGCTTTTCTCTACAAAATCACCTGCTCCCACCATCACCCGAAATCAGCAAGGGGATGTTTCTTCAATGTTGTCCGATTTCAACATATCTATAAAACTTTTAAACCACCAAATACAAAAGGGAATATGTGAGGATGTTGAGCAACATAATGGAAACATGACAATATATACATATGTAATTATATGTATACATGTATACGATATGTAAATGCACAAGATGATCACCACTGACATGCAACTAAATGACCAAACCCATGAAATACATGGGAAGTAAAAGTATTCACCACTGTGAAGATATTTTGCAAACCAGGGATCTTCCCCCCAAAAAATGGATTTCCCAGCTAGCCACTTTTGAAGGAAAGGACGCAGGGCTACACGATGCTTGGTCCTGCCGGGAAAGTTGGAGATGTAACGTAAGCTACTGAAAACCATGGGAAATGGAGGTTTTAATGGGAAAACCATAGGAAAACCATAGGAAAATGGAGGTTTACCCAACCTGGTTATGTCAACAGTTAGCTATTGAAGCCATGGCCATCATTGAAATAGTGAGTTTTCCCAGCTACAAAATGGTGGATCTTTCCATAGTTATGTGGCTGTTTACCAGAGGGTAACTTACATGAGATGTATTTGGCCACTGGCCGCCCTCACTATGAGGAGATGGGCAGATAGCAAAGGTACAATTGTTGTATCCCAAAACTATCCCAAATGATGGTTAGTTAGTACTTACTGTTGCCAAACGCAGAGAATGAGGAATGATCCATAATCACTAGTAACTAGTAATTTCATCATCCCAGCAACCCCCAGCAACCCATCCAGCAACCCTACATAAAACGCACCAGTAAGAGTAAGTGATGGGCAGAAAACAAACGATCCCTCAGTACGACTTACTAGGTTGACAGATCTCCAGCTTCAACTGACGAGCTCGTAAGTTGCATAGCTACTTACAATGTGCCGTATCTATTTTAGTAACCCAACCTTCAAACATAGCCGGAGTGAAATTTCCAGAGCATAAATACACATCAGTCACATACACCAAAAAGGTCACATCACATGTCGAATCTGTGAATCCACAGGGAAATCATGTCGTGTTTCCACGTTTTTCAGATGGTGACAAAATGGTTTGGTTACACAGTTCCTCCAGTTCCTCCAGTTCGTCCAGGAATGGGTTGATCTGTGGCAGCAACCTACTGATTTTCGTGAACTACCTGCTGCTGTGCATGTTTGGCTACTGCCTGGTGGACGACCCGCAAAACATCAAACCCAACATCCTGGAGAACTTGGGAGCCTTGGCTGCAAAGCCATGGTGATTTTTCATTCTTAGTGATAGAGAAAAACCATACCCTCTGGTTATTTAACAAAGCTATGGAAAATCACCATGTTTAATGGGAAAATCCACTTTAAATGACCATTTTCAATAGCTACGTTAAATTACCAGAGGGTAACTATGGGGAAATAGAGCTTCCACATAGAGAGTTGTATAGGATGGTGTAGCTGCTCTCAAGAAATCAATGTTATAATAGCGTCGCCAACATGATGTCCCCAACATGAGTTGGAGCTTGGACTATTTGGAAAGTGGTGGCGGCTCCTCAACGTAACATGAACAGAAAAACAACGGAGTCTGAAGACGGTCCTCCGTTCTCGGAGCTTGGGAATAGTTTTTGGTGTTACATGTTAGATGTTGCTTGAACCACCATCTCTGTTGGTTAAGCCACAAGTTCTGTTGGTTCGATGCTATTCTTGTTGGCATTCCCTACACAAACCTTATTTGGTTGCAGTGAGAATGTGCAATTTTGGTAACGTATGGCCAGTAAATTTCACATGGAATCTGGGACAACCTTTGGATATGTCTCACTCATCCAACAACTTTTGGATACTGAACATAACAAACACACAATTTTTTTCAGTAAAGTAACTTAAGCAACTGAAATAGTAATATTAATATTCATCTAACAATTGATATATATATATATATTGATATTGAAAATAGTAGTGTTAGCTTAACAACTTTAGTTGTGTAGAGATCGAACTTGACGACTTTTTTCAGATATGGGCAACTTAAAAACACGGAGCAGTCGTGGCTGGTTTAGTGCTGAGATTTTCATCGAAGATCATCGAACTTTAGAAGTGGTAAAAAACAAGATGAGTAGCACCCTTATAACTAATAAAGTTCTTTAGTTTCGCCCATTGAACTGAATATCTGAATATCCACCATGTTTCGCCAATCGGTAGCCTAGTTCAACACATTTCCTATCGTTCTGGAGACCCTGCTTGTAGAGAAATCCAATCATGACAATCTACTGTAGGCATTAGTCTCGGAGTTAGTGCAGCAACTCACTAATTCTTGGGTTAGACTCCCCCATTTTGCATAGTAGAACTACGTATGTTCAATATCTAATTTGTATCTGGTTGGTTGTTTGGACCATTTTTAATTTTTCCATATATTGGGAATATTCATCCCAACTGACTTTCATATTTTTCAGAGGGGTAGGTATACCACCAACCAGCTATAGTCATTAACCAGCATTATATAACCATTATATATTAATAACCATTAACCATTAACAGTATAGTATACCACCATTATATATTACCATTATATGACCATTATATAATAACGATTAACCATTATATAACCATTATATATTAATAACCATTATATACTATTAACAGTATACCACCAAGCAGTTATAGTCAGTGATCCATTTCTAATATGGCTTAAGCCCTCCACACATAAACCCATCGATTCCATCGGTTCCGTATGAACATGTTGAAGTTGGTTCGTCTGCATCGGTTCCAAGGGGGAAATTTCCGGCGAAATCACGAATGATGTTTTTTAATAACCATAGTAATGAACTTTTTTTATTATAGTAATGATAACAGAATATCGTAATAATTATCGAGTTTCTGTTATTATTAATGTCCATCACTATCTAAAAGGAACATGGTAACATTGATCATTTAGCATCGATCAATCCAGAAATTCCCTTGAATTTACCCATGCGGATAGTCCATATATTTTCATATATTGACTATGAATCTCCGTTTTCGTAGATTTAGTCCCATCCTTTTTGGAGCCATTCATAGTGCATCTACATAATTTATTTTCCATACATTCACTAACTCCCATGAGTTTTTTTTGGTATTTCTAGTGCAAAAAAACCCATTACCCTTTGGTTAATATAATCAAAGGTGGTGTGCTGGAAAATCCACCATTTAGTTCGATGAGGAAGTCCCAGCATGTCCCAGCTCCATCTTTTTGGGGGATTTCGCAGCTTGTTATGTTTGATTACCAGAGGCTATACCCATTAATATCCATATGAGTTATCATCCCACGACGATTTTTGCTAAACACGATGTATGAATCAACTTATATATATATATAATATTACCCACAGGCCCCGTGTGTTGCCCAAGCCCAGAATAGCGTAAATTACAAGGATTTTTGGTTCACACTATACATCTCATAAAAATTCTCCCACCCCCCTTAAACTTCTACATTCATTGAAGATTCTTCAAAAAGGGTTTAATTCTCCCACCCCCCTTAAACTCTTACATTCGTTGAAGATCTTCAATAAGGGTGAAATTTCCCACCCCCGTTAAACTCTTCCATTCATTGAAGATCTTCAATAAGGGTTTAATTCTCCCACCCCTGTTAAACTCTTACATTCATTGAAGATCTTCAATAAGGGTTTAATTCTCCCACCCCCGTTAAACTCTTACATTCATTGAAGATCTTCAATAAGGGTTTAATTTTCCCAACTCCGTTAAACTCTTACATTCATTGAAGATCCTCAATAAGGGTTTAATTCTCCCACCCACCCCCGTTAAACTTCTACATTCATTGAAGATCTTCAATCATCATCATCATCATCATCATGAAATTTGCAGGGAACATCCCTGTAAACTTCCGGGCAACACACAGGGCCTGGCCGTAATATTATCATATATTCTCCCTAAGAAACTCTATGGTTTACCCTCTGGTAAACTGTTACATAACTATGGAAAATCACCATTTTCACTGGGTAAATCCACTATTTCTATGGCCATTTCCAATAGCTTCTTGTATGTTTACCAGGCCGGGTACCGTATGAAAAGTCCGACGAAATCTTGAAACATCGCGGGACTTTTCCGGCACCAGGACGAGGGCGAGACGTAGGAGATGGTGGGCTGGTGCTCTTTGCGACGCTAGGTGGAGGATGGGAAAATGGTGCTATGAAAGAATAAACAAATCGTCCAATGGTCATATACCATGGAACACATGAGAATATATATATATAATCTATGATAATAATTGATATGCATTTATAAGTTTTTTCTTTTTTATATATATATATATACATACTGTATATACATATCATAATATTATATATATATAATGGATTATAGTGGATGATATTTTTTACTCTTATGGACGTACCATGGGAGTATATATCATGTCATAAAAACCAATGTCATGTTAGAATAAGAATTTGACGTAACCAATAATTATGGTAATATAAATATCATTTACCTAAATAATGATAATCTAAATATATCATATAATCCTAAATATGTACCCTCTGGTTATTTAACATAGCCACGGAAAATGGCCCATTTATAGATGGTTTACCTGGGTTTACCTATTTAAAATGGTGATTTTCCATGGCTATGTTAAATAACCAGAGGGTATATCATATAATCCTAAATATATAGATTTAATCTGTATTGCCCACTAAAAGGTGATATTGATCGCCTTCAACATATAGGCAAATATCTAGGCAAGCAGAGGGAATAATCATCAAAATGTTCCAATGTGTTCCAATGATTGATGGTGAATTACCACCGTGTTTGCCAGTTCATGAACATTTTGGATTTCTGATCTTCTTGATTGTGGTGATTGCGTCGCCATTGAATTCTTATTTCGCCTCTATTTGGGCGCAATGTCGCTTCATGTTTGCACCATCAAACCCTGTCAGCTGCCTCCAATTTACATGAAATGCTCCTAATGGCTTGATATGGATGGATTTTCCATCAGTGTCTATGATATAGATTAACATGTCATACGTCCCATATGTCCCTTGTTTCAACACTATTTACCCCCAAAAAACATGACGGGAACATGTCCAAAACACGTCCTCAAACCTCAGGAATGTTTTATCCATTTCCCAGGAAATATTGAAGAACCTTCAATCCAAGTCTTGAAGACATGTTCCTCACCAAAATGCAGATTATTTGATTTCCCCATTAAATTTGTTGATGATTTCTCTCCAAAATCCAGAAAATCTCACTTAGGGCCATGGGATTGGGGATTCCTGGGATTCCTGGTTAGGGACAGGATTATAAACCTTTTCCAATTATTGTCATATTCCAATTATTGTAATATTGCTATATGATGTAATGTTTATCCCAAGTTAATGTTACAATTATCCGTATATTCCAATGATTGTCGCAATATAGTGATTTTATCACAGGGTTTTCTGAAAAGGTAACCACCATCCAGAAAATCTCATGGCTTTCTAACCCAAAACGTCCCTTTTCGACGCAGTGAGGAAGGCCTCGCTCTGTCTGCAGCTGACCCTGGCGTTGCCGCTGCGTTTCTTCGTCGCTCGGAAGACGCTGCTGGGGGACGCGGGCGGATGTGCACGTGGCGCCTTGGCACGATGTCGGACGGGGGGTTGGAGGTCTACCCGGCCTGGTATAGCCATACAAAAAGCGAACTGGAAAATGGCCATAGAAATAGTGGATTTTCCCATGAAAAATTGTGATTTTCCATAGTTATGTAACAGTTTACCAGAGGGTAAATGGGAAGATGGATACTTTAATCCTTTAGTCTTTAGGTATCAATGGGAATATCTACCAACCAGCAAAGAATTTATTTTTTTGCAGGCTATCTAAGATTGGCAATGTAAATGGGAAGATGGAGACATAGACTAAGACACATAGACTAATGACTAAGAACGACTAAGAATGACTAAGTTCTTTGCTTTGTTAGACACAAAAGTATGTTTTTATAACAATTATATGTTTCTATTTGAATTGTCGCAAAAAGTAGGATGATTTTTCTGTCCTTTTGGGATGGAAACATCAGCATTTGACCCCTGAAGTGTGCAGAGTTCCTTGGGAGGAATGTGCTGCGAGAATTGGTCCACGGTCCACCTTGATTATTTGTTTGTTGTGAAACTTCACTGAGATTTGCTTCAGTCATATTTTTTTGGATGTTGTTAAGTCATGTTAAATCCCTCTGTCGGAGAAATCAATCCCTTCTTGCAGCGAATTCAAGTTGTTAAAGATCCCCCATCTTTGTTGATCAATCTTCCGGGCTAAACTGGGTAACGGTTATGCTAAGTTATAAACCCATCTGTGTTTGTTGATGAAACACAAATCCCAGATACTTGTTGGTTAACCATTGTTAACCCCATTACCCATTGATGAAAACATGAGAAACATCATCAAGTGACCAGCAATTACTATTTCTATGAATGTAAATCATCATTTTTCTAGGATGAAGTCATGATTGTTCATGATAAAATTACTAGTGTTTACCATAAAATCTCCATTTTTCATGCTTCAAACGGAAAAAAATCATCCCCATCTATTTTTCATGGCGGAAATACAAACAGAAGCACCACTTTAGTTCACCATTCTCTAAATATATACTATAAACCATAACAATTTAGGAAATTGTCTTTATGAATAAACAATATATTTTCATATATAGAAATAATATAAACCATATATATATATATAAATCAAAAACACATAAACAACCATATATGTTTTATCCATCTTTTATGTTTATTTTCCATATTTTGTCCCGGTTTTATTTCCATATTTTGTCCATAAAAACCATATAAAAACCATATAAAAAACCATATAAAAACCATATAAAAACCATATAAAAAACCATATAAAAACCATATGGAAAACCATATAAAAACCATATAAAAACCATATAAAAAACCATATAAAAACCATATGGAAAACCATATAAAAACCATATAAAAACCATATAAAAAACCATATAAAAACCATATAAAACCCATATAAAAACCATATAAAAACCATATAAAAACCATATAAAAACCATATAAAAACCCATATAAAAACCATATAAAAACCCATATAAAAACCATATAAAAACCATATAAAACCCCATATAAAAACCATATAAAAACCATATAAAACCCATATAAAAACCATTTAAAAAACCATATAAAAACCATATAAAAACCATATAGAAAACCATATAAAAACCATATAAAACCCATATAAAAAAACCATATAAAAAACCATATAAAAACCATATAAACCCATATAAAAACCATATAAAAACCATATAAAAACCATATGGAAAACCATATAAAAACCATATAAAAACCATATAAAAACCATATAAAAACCATATAAAAACCATATAAAAAACCATATAAAAACCATATAAACCCATATAAAAACCATATAAAAAACCATATAAAAACCATATAAAAAACCATATAAAAACCATATAGAAAACCATATAAAAACCATATAAAAACCATGTAAAACACCATATAAAAACCATATAAAAAACCATATAAAAACCATATAAAAACCATATAAAAAACCATATAAAAACCATATGGAAAACCATATAAAAACCATATAAAAACCATATAAAAAACAATATAAAAACCATATGGAAAACCATATAAAAACCATATAAAAACCATATGGAAAACCATATAAAAACCATATAGAACACCATATAAAAACCATATAAAAACCATATAAAAAACCATATAAAAACCATATAAAAACCATATAAAAAACCATATAAAAAACCATTATTAAAAAAACTATTATAAAAACCATATAGAAAACCATATTAAAAACCATATAAAAACCATATTAAAAAACGATTATAAAAACCATATAAAAACCATATAAAAAACCATATAAAAAACCATATAAAAACCATATAAAAAACCATATGGAAAACCATATAAAAAACCATATGGAAAACCATATAAAAAACCATATAAAAACCATATAAAAACCATATAAAAACCATATAAAAACCATATGGAAAACCATATAAAAACCATATGGAAAACCATATAAAAACCATATTAAAAAACCATATAAAAACCATATAAAAAACAATATAAAAACCGTATAAAAAACGTATAAAAAACATATAAAAAACCATATGGAAAACCATATAAAAAACCATATAAAAACCATATGGAAAACCATATAAAAACCATATAAAAACCATATAAAAACCATATAAAAACCATATAAAAACCATATGGAAAACCATATAAAAACCATATAAAAAAACCATATAAAAACCCTATAAAAACCATATAAAAAACCATATAAAAACCATATAAAAACCATATAAAAAACCATATAAAAACCATATAAAAAACCATATGGAAAACCATATAAAAAACCATATAAAAACCATATGGAAAACCATATAAAAACCATATAAAAACCATATAAAAACCATATAAAAACCATATGGAAAACCATATAAAAAACCATATAAAAACCATATAAAAAACCATATAAAAAACCATATAAAAACCATATAAAAAACCATATGGAAAACCATATAAAAAACCATATAAAAACCATATAAAAAACCATATAAAAACCATATAAAAACCATATAAAAACCATATGGAAAACCATATAAAAACCATATAAAAAATATAAAAACCATATAAAAACCATATAAAAACCATATAAAAACCATATGGAAAACCATATAAAAACCATATAAAAAAAACATATAAAAACCATATAAAAACCATATAAAAACCATATAAAAACCATATAAAAAACCATATAAAAACCATATAAAAAACCATATAAAAAACCATATAAAAACCATATAAAAAACCATATAAAAACCATATAAAAACCATATAAAAACCATATAAAAACCATATGGAAAACCATATAAAAACCATATAAAAAAACCATATAAAAACCATATAAAAACCATATAAAAACCATATAAAAAACCATATAAAAAACCATATAAAAACCATATAAAAAACCATATAAAAACCATATAAAAACCATATAAAAACCATATAAAAACCATATAAAAAACCATATAAAAACCATATAAAAACCATATAAAAAACCATATAAAAAACCATATAAAAACCATATAAAAAACCATATAAAACCCATATAAAAACCATATAAAAACCATATAAAAAACCATATAAAACCCATATAAAAACCATATAAAAACCATATAAAAACCATATAAAAAACCATATAAAAAACCCATATAAAAACCATATAAAAAACCATATAAAAACCATATAAAAAACCATATAAAACCCATATAAAAACCATATAAAAAAACCATATAAAAACCATATAAAAAACCATATAAAACCCATATAAAACCCATATAAAAACCATATAAAAAACCATATAAAAACCATATAAAAAACCATATAAAAACCATATAAAAAACCATATAAAACCCATATAAAACCCATATAAAAACCATATAAAAACCATATAAAAAACCATATAAAAACCATATAAAAAACCATATAAAACCCATATAAAACCCATATAAAAACCATATAAAAACCATATAAAAAACCATATAAAAACCATATAAAAACCCCATGATTTTGAGCTCGAGCAGCTCAGCTTTGGTGGCCTTGGCGCTGGTTTCTTCCGCCACGCTGCTGGCGCTGCCTGAGATCTCCCTGGCTTTGGTGCTGGGACTCACCAGCAGCGTTTGCGCCAGCAGCTGGGCCGTTGGCGTTGGCCAAGGGCTGTTTAAAAAAACATATAGGTCCATGGTTAATCAGTGATTATGGTTATGATTAGTGACTAGTGATTACCATATAGTTAATACAATTAGTTATTATATGTTATTATTACTTGAACCAACTTGAAGCTGGAGGGTTTTTCCAGCCCCTGCCTGGCAGTTGTTATAAAAAAAAGGGGCGGATTTAACCCCATTGGAAAAGGAATTGAATGGAAACTATGGTGAGTCAACATAACAGTGAACCAATAATAAGCTCGGGATATATATATGTATGTATATATATATATATATGTGTGTGTGTGTCACCCCTATAAATGGATAAGAGAATATAGAACATGATGTAACTCTGGTGACTTAACCCCTATCAGCTGCGTTTTCCCCACCTGCCAGGTGAGGGTTGTTATAGATTTTATCAGAGCTGTTGCTCAGTGCGCACTGCTGGACCTCAACCTGGGACCTTCCCAGCTCAGTGTGCACCGCTGGACCTCAACCTGGGACCTTCCCAGCTCAGTGCGCACCGCTGGACCTCAACCTGGGACCTTCCCAGCTCAGTGCGCACCGCTGGACCTCAACCTGGGACCTTCCCAGCTCAGTGCGCACTGCTGGACCTCAACCTGGGACCTTCCCAGCTCAGTGCGCACCGCTGGACTTCAACCTGGGACCTTCCCAGCTCAGTGCGCACTGCTGGACCTCAAATGCCAGAAGATATGCCAGATAGAATGTCAGATAGAATGCCAGATAGAATGTTAGAAGATATGCCAGATAGAATGCCAGAAGGTATGTCAGATAGAATGCCAGATACAATGTCAGATAGAATGCCAGAAGATATGCCAGATAAAGTGCCAGAATGTTTGCCAGATAGAATGCCAAAAGATTTGCCAGATAATATGCCAGATAGAATGCCAGATGGAATGCCAGAAGATATGCCAGCTAGAATGCCAGAAGATATGCCAGATAGAATGCCAGATGGAATGCCAGAAGATATGCCAGAACATCTGCCAGAAGATATGCCAGGTAGAATGCCAGAAGATATGCCAACAACAAAATGTATAAATGTCATGGTGGGGATCACTCGAAGTAAGGTAATTTTCTATATGTATCAGTACCCTCTGGTAAACATACAAAAAACTATGGAAAATCCATCATGTTTCATGGGAAAATTCACTATTTCAATGGATCTATATGTTTTTCACCCTGTGGTAAACTGTTACATAACTATATGGAAAGATCCACTATTTTGTAGCTGGGTAAATCCACTATTTCGACTGGGCCATTTTCAATAGCTATTTTGACATAACCAGAGGGTAAACTTTAGTTGTGCGAATCTTTAAAACGCAACTCCACCTGAACATCATAATAGTGTATTCCATGTTTTCATTGGAAATCCAGAGACATCTATTATTATCGACTATTGGTGGTTAAATCATGTTAAATCCCAATGAACCAATATTAAACATTTTAAAATCAATTAAAATCGTATAATCCCATGTGCTCCCTCCTCCCTGAAACATCTACGTCTTGCATCGTCTTGCAACAGGCATGATCATCTACATTTTGCCGGCCATCATCGATTTGAAACTTCAACTGCCAGGCAGGGGCTGGTTCAAGTTGGTTCAAGTAATGAAACATGGTGAAACCCATGATGAAATATGGTGTTTCAATGGACTTTAGAGGAATTTCATGGGTTTAGAGGAATTTCATGGGAATTCATGGATATAATTGCATAATTATTGCATGTAACCTGGTTGGGGACGAAGTTGGGGTGACTTCGGGATAGAGCCTTTAACTAAGGTTATTTACCCACTTACAACTGCAACTGCACCCCCAATTAGGGCTAATACGCTACAACTTGGTGATAACTGGTATACCCAGCAGGCCCCTCTAGCATTTTCCCCAAGAGATATTATTGAACCACTATGGGAAAAATACCAATGGGGATATTCAATTCCTTTGCCATCTTAGATTTCCTAGAGGTTTGGGTGAGGTACGAGTAAACGTTTTAGTCCCAGAAACTTAATTGCAGGTTTTACATTTTTTGTTTCTACAACATATGATTTCATAATCCTTGGTTGAAGTAATATGTTTTGAGGCTCTTTGTCATAGATTCTTTGGGAGGATGTATGTGGTTCCATGGGTTTGCTTTCACTGGATTCAAGGCGCCACAAACCACAAGCTATCCCATCTCCATGGCTAGCTAAAAATAGATGATCCTTCAAAATTTATGTTCTCAGTGGCTGTTCCAAACACCAACTTCTTTTTTAAGATATGATGGCGCAATCTCCACCAAAAAGCCATTGCCATGTTCATCCAGGTTTCTGGCGCAAAGTGGTTTCACTGCTGAGTTTCTTGCTTGGTTGTTACATCTTAGTGGCGGGCGTCTACGCCAACATCGTTGGTGCGGCCGTGGGAAGCTAATGGAGGGAGGATCCATGTGTGGAGATGGCTAAAGATTGCGGCCCAAGCATTGATGGTTGGTGGTGCCCCACAGTGACCGCAGTGATGTTTGTTCGTTTATATTTACCCTCCAGTAAATTAACATAGACCCTGGTAGATAGGGGTTGGAAGATTAGTGTCCTCATGTTTCCTCTAAAAATAGGTGATTTTCAGGGTCTATGGACGGTCTATGTTAATTTACCAGAGGGTAATCCTCATGAACTATAGATATATGATCATATGAGTAGCCGACAAAATTAGCGGAAGACTAAAGTAGCAGGGAGTGGACTTGGGATGTTCAAATTTGTGCGAAAACATTCACAACCGATTGGGGACCACCCACTTTGGCCATGTCCATTGCGAGTAGTAAGTAATTTTGTCCGCCACTCATATGGAGGTTTCCTGAAATGGGGGTACCCCCAAATCATCCATTTCTAGATGGTATTTTCCATGAAATAAACCATCCAGCCATTGGGGTAGCCATTTTGGGAAACATCCATGTGTATTATTAATAGACCCTAGTCATTGGAGTTATGTTCACCAACTTAGCTGACGAACTGGGGCACCCACTGAACATCGCAGATCCAACATGTCACATCTTGACCATCAAGAAGCCTCTGCAACGGAGGTGTTGTTTCTTTTTTAAGAAGATCAGGGACACCAAACATATTTAAGCCGAAAAAAACTCGGTGGTTTGGACATGTTTGGACTGTTGTTCCCTTTCCATGCGAAGAAAATGGATGATATGTGTTTGTGATCTCGTGATCCCCAAGATCTTTGGACGGCTTAAAATGAGCATAAACACGTCATGGGATTTATGTCGTGGTTTCTTCAAAAAGTCAGGGATCTCCAGTCGTCACTTCAATATTGTTTCAATATCTGAAACAATACAAAGTCATGGTCATCCATGACGACTGGATGATAACTAGGGCTAGCTCCATGACTTTGGACACCGCCATATGATGGTTAATGATGGTTAATGATGCTTAATGCTGGTTAATGATGGTTAATACAGTTAATACCCTGGTTTTCCTATGGTGATCACTCAAAAACCATCGAAAACTGCGGCGGATCAGCGCTATGTCTTCACCAGCGGATCATCCCAGCGAATCAAAAACGAGTAGCCATGGTCCAAGATGGAGCGGCTACTGAGTTTACTGCATTGATTGATCGGCTCTAAAAAGGTGGCCAATTTTGGGTGTGACTTTGGGTTTAGGGTTTTTGAAAAAGTCATTGAACATCTGGTGGTGACTGGAACATGAATGGTTTCTGACTTTCCATTTCATATATGGGATAATCTTTCCCATTGACGAACTCCATCATTTTTCAGGGGGGTTGGTTGAAACCACCAACCAGACATGTTTCGTATCCACCACATGTTGTTTCTCGGAAAATGCTGGCGAACCACTGGATGGTGATGTTTATTTACCCCATGGAAAGTGGGGGATCCCCCAATGGGTTTCAAACATGGTTTTGGGTCAACCAGGGACGTAGGAAGCAGTTGTGCATACTGGTTTTAATGGGAAAACCATGGGCAAACCATAGGAAAACCATAGGAAATTACCAGAGGGTAGCTGGTATTTGCAAATTCTGATATTAGTGCAGCCAACAAAAATGGATGTTCATGGATTTTCCACCAACAGGAATTGAGTTTTTTCACCGACAGTCAAGAGGATGTCAGCTATGAACAAGTATATATATATATATTTCACCTGGATTAGGGTGATTCTTGCGCGCAGGATAGGCAGCTATCCACACTATTGTGGGGTCCCCAAAATGATCCCATGGTAATCTTGGGATGGGATTGTCTCAGGATTTTTGGGTGAGAATGTGTATGTCCAAAATAAGTGGATGGTTATACAGAAAAGATGGTTTCTGGTATCGATAAAATGGGGGATTTCAGATTGCCAGTTTTGTTTACCTGAGGGTTTGTGATGGTTTATCATGGGTCATTAAATGTCCCCATGGAACATCACCCAACCATTAGGTATATATGGTCTATCATGGCTACTATAAGGTGATGTCCAATATACCCAAAATGGGACATTTACCAATCCCTGTTTATGCCCAATATTGCCAAAGTTTCAAACCAATCATCTTGCAATTACTGGTATCATTTCTATTTTCAAATTCACAGTTTTACTCGTAGACATCCCCATCCATCATATTTTATTGTTACTATATTAACTATGATCCCCAGAATAATGATTTATTATTACTATCCACCAGTATTCACTATATTGTTACTACATTACCTAAACATATTCACCATGTCTGGTTGGTGGTTTGGAACATTTGGATTATTTTTCCCATCATATTGGGAATGTCATCATCCCAACTGACTTTCACTCCATCATTTTTCAGGGGGGTAGGTGGCTCAACCACCAACCAGCCCATGTTTTAGCCAATGATTAACCATCATTAACCACTATTAACCACTATTAACCACTATTAACCATTATTAACCATTATTAATCATTACTAACCATCAGATATTATATAATTATATCCAAATTGTTACCACCTAAAGCAGTAATGGATTTACTCTCCAAAATCCCCAGAGATAGCTGGTGATATCCCCAAAACCTCGGTTAGTGCATTGGAAAATACCACTATTTAATTGAGCAGTGTACTAAATTTTCTGGCATACTGGATGCTAGATGTTAAAATTGGTTCTCATCCAATTTTGCTGGTGAAATCCAATATGTTTGTTAATTTTGATTTGTTAAATCACCATCCATCACCATCTTTGAAGCTGTTCCAGGGTTACAGCTTCATGTTTGATGCTTGAATCTCTATTGTCGATTGTTAAAGCTATGGTTTTTGTTGCTAAAACATGTTTTTTTCACATGTTAACACCCTATTTTCGATGCTTAAACCACCCTAATTTTCATGGTAAAACCACCTTTTTTTTGTCGTTGAATCCCCTAGAAGCTGGATGCTTACCCTCCTGGTAAACATACAAAAAGCTATTGAAAATTGCCATTGAAATAGTTGATTTACCCGTTCAAAATGGTGGATCTTTCCATAGCTATGTTAAATTACCAGAGGCATCATGTATGGTCAACGGGGAAATCATGGTTAACCAATGAATATACCATTAATCACCATTAGTACAATGGTGATTTTCCATAGCTATGTAACAGTTTACCAGGAGGGTAACTTCTGCCAGGACGGACGACTTCTTCCCGGACGGCGGGTCACGCGGTGCCGGTGCCGGAGCCCGTGGATCCGTCAAGGGCGCAGGTCGGGGGTCCGTGGTGATGGTGCCGTGACGGCAGATGAGTCACGACGCAAGCAGTGAATAGTGGGAATCGTTGGAAAACCATAGGAAAACCATAGGAAAATGGAGGTTTATAGCTGGGAAAACCATAGGAAAATGAATGTTTACCCTCTCGTAAACTGTTACATATTGATAACTATGGAAAGATCCACCATTTGTTCATGGGAAAATCCACTGTAAATGGTGATTTTCCATAGTTATGTTAAATTACCAGAGGGTAATGAGCATATAATGAGAATATAGTGGGAAAATAGAAAACCCATGAAAAGCAAAAGTGGGAATATCATCGGAATATAATGGGATATAACTTGTTAGTGACTTATCAGGAAACTGGTTAGTGACCGTTATAATGGAATAGAATGGGATTTACCAATATCCAAGCATATAATGGGAATATCATGGGAATAGTGGGAAAATAGAAAAGCATATATGATCATAGGTGAGTCATTGAACATAGCCTTGTTGATTGGTTATTCAGGATGACAATGGGACATTAACAGGATATTAGTGGGTGTATAGTGTGTAATGAGAATATAATTGTGAGCCTCACATCTTATCATATAAGTACTAGAGGTTTGTGAAGGGGATATCGATGATTTCTATGGTTTGTTCTGGATAAGACTGGCTTTTTAATGGAACCAAAATTTAGCCTTCTTGATGAGTTTGAGGAGTGAAAGGTACCTGGTTTTTATGGGGATTCCGTTTTGAAAGCCACAACGGGTTTCACCTATGAACCAAACAAACGCATACTATATAACGTGGTAAACGTTTTACGATGGTTCACGATCCAGCATGGCATTTCATGGCCTGCAAATCGATCGGTAAATCCACGACATTTCGACTGGGCCATGTTCAAGTTCGCAAACTGTTGACATACCCTCTGGTAAACTAACATAACTATGGAAAATCACCATTTTTAATGGGAAAACTCACTATAAATGGCGATTTTTCCATAGCTATTTTGACATAACCAGAGGGTAACCGGAATCGGTAAATCCACGACATTTCGACTGGGCCATTTCCTATATAGCTATAGACGTGATGTCTTCGGATGATCCCACAGTGATTCTCACGCCGTTGATGAAGGTTTCCAACATGACACATATGGTGATATGTTACATAGGCCTTAACAAAAAGGCCTAACATAGATGGTAGGTACCTCCAATTTAGGTTCCTAAAATGACCATTGAATATGATTGATGATTGATTTTTAGATGATGGCTGTGAACCTACCTACTGTAATTATATATATATAATACATATAACACAAACAATCCATGAACTGGAAAATCCTATTGACCAGCCAGTACTATGGGATACTTGATAAATGATGGTCTGAAGCTTACCCACTGGCAATTTCATATTTGCTATGGAACATCTAATGTGGTAAGGTAAAAACATATTCATGTAGCCATTTTTCACAGCTATGTTGAATTGCCAGAGGGTATCCAGAAAACTCCACGATTCTTGGCATAACACAGTTTTTTCGGGTACCTGGTCTACACATATTGCCCTGGTCCCATTGATTAATCATAATTCTATATAATTCTCCCTATGAAAGTTGCCTCGATTTTCAGACACCCAGTGCTTTGGAACATTTGGACTATTTTCCATCATATATGGGATAATCCTTCCCATTGACTAATATTTTTCAAGATGGTTAAAACCACCAACCAGCCCGTGTTTTTTTGAACATATCAAGTATCCCATAGTACTGGCTGTACAATAGGATTTTCCAGCAATTTTTGGCTGTATATCTAATGATTGGCTGTACAATATACTAATCCCACACATTACCCAGCTGTACACTCTGGTTATGACTAACATGGCCATGGTATAGATGGCCCATAGATATAGATGATTTTCCCGGCTAGAAACCTCCATTTATGAGGATTTTCCATGGCTATGTTAAATAACCAGATGGTAGGTGATATCTACTGATTGGGATGAATCTGAGCATGGGAAGGGGAGACTTCAGGGGAGACATCACGAAACACGTATTATAAATGCATCAATGGGTTGTTTTCCGATCAAGTTATATACCCATATTACAATTCCCCCAATACCTATATTATCTGGTTGGTGGTTTGGAACATGAATGGATTATTTTCCCATCAGACTGGGAATGTCATAATCCCAACTGACGAACTCCATCATTTTTCAGAGGGGTAGGTATACCACCAACCAGATAATATGGGGATTTCCCAATCAATGGGGGATGGTTTTTTGAAGTACCCATCATGTGACTGGATTCCTCGATGGATGACGATAGCTCGTACCGTTAGTAACTTGACCATGGCGACTTATTTTTTTATCGCATGATTGATCCATGAGAAAATACCTGTTTGAAACCCTCTAAAAATGTCGCCTATGAAAAAAAAATATATTTAAAGCCTACTTTACCAAATTATGTCAGATATCATAATAATATATATATATATTGTTCTATAGCCATATAAATTGCACATCTTCAGAAAGAGAAAAACAGAACCGTGCCCGAAAAGGCGCCGACAGCGGCGATTGGGGCGACTTCTCAGGCGGAGTCCCCTGAACAAATCGTACGACCGGTCCCGGAGGGTTCTTAAAAATGAATGGTTGTGATTTTGGTAGTTTAAATATATAGTTTATACAGAAATTCTATGAAATTCTATATGTTTTTTTTTTTTTAAATAGGGAAAACGATGGGATGATGGTTTTTTTAAATATGATTCTGGGATACGAGGTGGATGATTTTCCAGCACGACGGTTTGAGGACTCTTAGGGTATCCCCGCACGGTTGTGGATCGAGTGGATCTTTCGAGTCCAAAGCCGCTAAAATCCCATTAAAATCCTATTAAATTACCATGAAAATACCATTGAAATGCCATTAACATACCATTGAAATGCCATTAAATGACCATTAAAATCCAATTAAGACACCATTAAAATACCATGGAATCCCATTAACATCTCATTAAAATACCCTGAAAATACCCTGAAAATACCATGAACATACCATGAAAATACCATGAAAATACCATGAACATACCATGAAAATACCATAAACATCAATTGTTAACCGGGTTTAACACCAAGCCAAAACGGTACTGTTTTTATGTTTGCCATGTGCCGCCGAAAGAAGCGGTTTTTGATGTTTCGAAACTGATCGCTAACGGTAACAGTGGGGTGTTGGGAGCATGGTTTAATATGGCATTCATATGGTTTCACAATGGTCTAATGGGACAATAATGGTTTAATATTAGCAATATGGAACTAAACAACTGGTTGGTGGTTTCAAACATGTGGATTATTTTCCATAATAAAAAAGGGGAAATCCTTCCCATCGACTAATATTTTTCAAGATGGTTAAAACCACCAACCAGTAAGGAATTAAGGTCAACAATTGGAGCTACGATTGAGTTTCGCCACATGAAAGTTTTGATTCTTTGCCCGGAAATCATGACCAGTTATCTCCAAGGAAATTTTCATATACCCCAAAACTTTATACTCCAACTTATATGAGGGTTATATATATATATATATGGGTTATACTTTTCCAACTCACTTTGTATCCCAGAATAGCAGGTATGCAGGCTACCGGGTAGCTGGACACCCTCAAATAGCTGCAGTAAACTAGGTTCATAGCCCAGTTTCAGGGGTTGAACATGGATTAAGTGGAGACTTCATGTTCGGGGCAGTCCTGAAGCACTCCGTTGTCAGATGACCGACCAAAGTCGGTCAAAGATTTGCAACCTGTGGGATGTCTATAGATAGGTTTGTTCTTCAAAACATCAATCCTGAGCGAATTTTCAGAGGTTTACCCTCTGGTGAACTAACATAGCAATGGAAAATCACAATTTTTAATGGGAAAATCCACTATAAATGGCAATTTTCAATAGCTATGTTAAATTACCAGAGGTTTAACATGTGGAAAAACTACCTGAAACGTCTTGAAAGTCCCCTCAAAAAGTGGGTTATCCAATGGTGAACTAATAAAAAAAGCGAACTGGAAAATGGCCATTGAAATAGTGGATTTTCCCAGCTACAAAATGGTGATTTTCCATAGTTATGTTAGTTTACCAGAGGGTAATTAGTTGGTTTTTGGTTTCATTTTATTTCCATCCCTGGGATAAGACCAATTGACTTTGATATTGTCAGGGATGGGTAGCTCACCTTCGACAAAGACTATAATTCCATTTTCCCATCTACCCTCCAAACATCAAACATAGCAATAACATGCAATAACCCTGAACTAATTTGAGGTTTTGTAGCTTGGAAAATCAACTCTAAATGGCTGATTTTCCATTGCCCTGTTTGATTACCGGAGGGTCTCTGTGGTCAAAACCAAACTCTGAATGAAATGCAGCATGTCTTTGATGGTGATACCGAACTCGAAGCACAACATATCACAAAATCATGTATCCTGGCTGCATGTTTGGTAAAATGACTGTTAAAATCGCTGAAACTCTGTTCAACAAATTAAAGCTATGTAAACATGACCCCTGTGGCATGACTATGTTCAATTGTAAAACTCCTATTTTCCGCCATTTTTTCATTCCAGTTCCGTCACTGCCACAGGGGCCCCCGTGGCACCCGTGGCACCCGTGGCCGCGGCCGTGGCGGCCGCGCCGCCAATAGCGGCGCCGGCGGGCGGCTTGCTGGATTTGGATCTGGACTTCACGGCGGCTTGGTCTCAAAGTGGATTAATTGTGGATTAGTTATGGATTACTGGTTGGTGGTTTGGATCATTTGTTATTTTCCCCAATAGTTGGGATGATGATCCAATCTGACTAATATTTTTCAGGGGGGTTGAAACCACCAACCAGATTAGTTATGATTAATAATGATTAATTATGATTAATTAGGATCGATTGATATTGAGTAATTATTAATTATGATTAATTGATATTATAATTTATATTGATTTACTATTAGTCATTGATATGAATAGTGGGTTACTACAATATATCAATCATTGATAGTAGTGCAATATTAATGTTGATAGTCTATTAATATTAGCAGTAAATTTTAAAATATTGACATATTATGTCCGAATATACTTTACTAATAGTGGTTTCTTCACGAATTATATTAGTAGTCCATTATATACTATACTATAATCATATATCATCTATTTTTGGTCGGTTCTTAGGAGTGTATAGGTACTATATTCCAATCTATTCCATGACCATTGAGAAGAATGTCTAGAACATTTTGGAATTAGCATAAGCACATGGGATATGTCTATAGGTATTAGTGAGACGTTTTCTTGGACTAGATGGGACAATGGGATATGATATCAATTAATATGTAATATTTTTAATACATTGACCATAATACTGATCATGATCAAACACATATTGATACTAATTGATACTAATTGGTATAGATATTGATAATACTGATTGATTCTAATTGCTAGTGGTCATACTTATCTCTAATCAGTTGGTGGATCCAAGGGGAAACATGGAGTCTGAAGAGGCGGACAGACCACCGCCGCATCCAGACCAGCTCTTTGACATCACGCTGACGTGCCATCAACTTCCACCTGGACCTCATCGAGCACTCCAGGAGCAGTTGGGCCAGGCCATTCGTCAGGCTTCAGAGGTTTTCACCCTGATGGGCCTTGATGCTGATCAGAGCCTCAACTGTGCGCGGGAGACCGCTTGGACGATGATCGACATGAAACCGGTGGTAGCCTCAACCGGGCAAAGCGCCAGAAGTTCCTCGAAGACTGCCGGTCCACACAGCTCTTCTTCGACCGGTTGGTACTGAGTTTGGACACATCGGCATAGGATCTCTTTTTTGCATTTTTTTGCCATTTTTGGCCTTGCTGCAGCGACCTCAGCCCCCCCAGGTTCGATACATTATCAAAAATGATCAAGGGGAGGGGGGCGGAGACATTGGCATTACTTCGGGAGGCTGATGAACATCTATTCAAAATATGGTAATTGTTTGGATCATCCATATTGAATCTATACCATCTTTGCCCATCTTTACCCCATTTTTCCATTGAAACTATGTCTTTCCGCCGGGGACAGGACGCCAAAAACGGCACGTTAAACCGTTCCGAGGCGCCTCCGCAAGCGCAAGCCGCGGTTGAGACCCCAGCCGCGCCGCAAGCCGTGGCGCCGCAAGCCGTGGCGCCCGTGCAGCAGCAACTTGCCGTGTCTTCGGTGGGTGGAAAGACAGTTGAGCAGTGCTCAAAGCTCCTGTTGTTTGATAATTGGCTATGAATCAATACCTATTAATACCATTTTTAGAGGGATGAACATCCATTTACCAGCTATTTTGATGTTCACCAGGGGTACAAGGTTTTGACCCACTGCCAATTAGGCATGAAAATATGGGGATATAAGTTCAATGGATATAACTATTATAACTGGTTTGGGGTTATACTGGCCTTTATATTGGAGATTGTCATGGACTATCACACCCCATTAGGGAAATCCCTGTCAACTAACCAATGTAAGCCGTTTAAAGGATTACCAGAGGGGGATGTCCGCGAACATCCCATTATTATTCCATAATTATATATTATTATCCCATGATCATCACTACTAAACTATATAAAACCATAGTAAACTGCCATTGAAGCCATAGTGATATCCAGTTTTTGTCTTTGGTTTGGGGTTTTTCACATGGCTGGGTCCAATGGGAGGAGCCCCATAAAACATCACCATTTGACTGACAAATGATGGTCGGGTGCTTTAAATTCGTTCGGGTGCTTTAAATTCGAAAATAAATGGTGTATTTTTTTTTAAATGATGGTAAACCCGAAATAATGGTATAATGATGGTAAACCCGAAATGGTAAACCCGAAATGTCATGGTAGAATGATGGTGTATATCATGGGATAATGATGGTGTACCCGAAATGGTAAACATGAACACAAACAACGATAGGAAGATCCAGCATTTTTGATTTGATTCATCAACTATAATTATAAATGACCATTTTCCAGTTCGCAAACTGTAAACCTTTACCAGGCCGGGTACTAATTCTTGGCGGTGAACAAACCCATGAGCTGGGTTCATTCCGTTAGTTTGCCAGGATAAAATGGACTGACAATGGGCGAATACATTCGTCAATAACAGATCTGGTTGGTGGTGACTGGAACATGAATGGATGGATTATGTGTTTCCATATATATATATTGGGAATGTCATCATCATTAACCACTATTAACCACTATTGACCATTATTAACCATATTAATTGGGAATGTCTAATCATCCCAACTGACTTTCACTCAACTCCATGATGTTTCAGAGGGGTAGGTGGTTCAACCACCAACCAGAGATGTTCAACCGCTGTTGCTTCGACCGCATGCCCTTGCGCCGCGGTCAACGTCTCAATCCATGGTTGGCCCAGCTAGATCTCAACTGATAACCATGACGACCTGGTCAAGAGACTGATATCCGACATGACTAATTTGGTTAACTGGTCTCCACTTGAAAACCAGTTTAATATAGTTTAATCACCTTGAACACCAGTGGAAAATCACCGTTTATCTGTTTGGTCAAAAAAAATCCGACAATTAATCCCAGTCTGATTGCCGGGCAGCATTTAAGTTGCCTTTGTTGCTTGAATCTCCATCTTTGTCTGAATTTCTTTCGATCAATGTTGATCGTTTTTCGATGTGGGTTGTAAAATCCGAATCTTAAGTGGGTACCCTCTGGTAAACTAACGTAACTATGGAACATCACCATTTTTAATGGGTAAATCCACTATAAATTGCCATTTTCAATAGCTATGTCAGTTTACCAGAGGGTAGATCCCCAATTTCGCATAGACATTTCGCATTTTAAGGATGGTTCAATCGTGTTCAATCCATATTTTTTGTGAATCGGTGAAATCCCTACATTTGATATATCAAAGTGACATTTTGACCCTGGCAGTAGAGGATTTGAGATATTTGAGTACCTTGTATGAGCAACTTCAGGGGTTCAATCCATATATATATATATATATCTGGTTGGTGGTTTGGAACATTGTTCATTTTCCATAGTATATGGGATAGTCCTTCCCATTAACGAAGTCCATCATTTTTCAGGATGGTTTTTAAACCACCAACCAGCATATATATATATATACCATCTGGTTATTTAACATAGCCATGGAAAATCACAATTTTTAAGAACGGTGAACCATCTATTTCTATGGGCCATCTATACCATGGCGAACTGTTAGTCATAACCAGGTTGGGTAAATATCCATATGTTTTGTGGTTTGAATCAGGTTGAATCCTCCACATTTGATCCTTCTGGCTAAATTATAACGACCTCACTGCGACCTGGGAATCATGGTTAATAAGGGAAATCATCCCCAAATGGTCTTAATTCAGGTTTGTGAAATATTATAATTTACCCAGATATTTGGGTGATATTATCATTCTGGAATTTTTCTAACAGAATAATCATTTTACTATCAGAACTCCACTAGAACTTGTGATCTACCAGAAGAGTAGAATCTCCGATCAGTTTTTATCCCGTCAGTTCCAGAAAAATTTCGTCCAGGCCTCCCACGGGTGCTCGCTACTCGGCCTTCGATGACCTCTGCGAGCCGCCGCAGGCGCTGGAAAATATGGGAAAACCATAGGAAAATGGAGGTTTACCCTCTGGTAATTTAACGTAGCTATTGAAAATGGCCATTAATAGTTGATTTTCCCATTAAAAATGGTGATTTTTCCATAGCTATGTTAGTTTACCAGAGGGTAATGGAAAATCAGCTGAGTTGGTGAACATAACTCCAATAACTAGGGTAAATAATACATATATGGATGCTTCCCAAAATGGGTACCTCAAAAGGGATGGTTGATTTCATGGAAAATCCTATGAACATGGATGATAAATGATGGAACATCCTATTAAAATGGTTTATTTCATGGAAAATCCTATGGAAAACACCATTTTGAGTGGGTAAATGAGCTATTTTCTCTGGTTTATGATGGAAAATCCTATGAGTATGGATGAGAACTGGGGGTACACCCCCATTTGTGAAGCCTGAAGATATGGGCGATGGCATTGTTTTGGAGTTTCCGTTGCCGGGATGATCATGGCTACCCCTCATCCAGTCATTCGACCATGGCTTAAACGACTGGGGCCCATGACTGAAGAGCCGTCCATATGTTCAGATAAGTAATATGGGGGGGTTCTTATGGATATATGGATATGTATATTCAGGTAAATTAAGAACCGAAATCTTATCTTCTTTTGCAATAGATTTATGGTAATATCATCAAATATATGGTAAAATCTTGGTAAAAATCATTAAAAATCTATGATCTGTGTAAATTGAACATCTGTAACTGAAGCGTTTTTATTACTGCAATCAGTTGTGATTAAAAAACAGCGATTTCGTTGTCGGATTCTGTGGGTGAATTTGACCAGGTCAAATCTTGGGAGACTCAGCAGTTTTTTTTGTTAGGGACGTTAACGGGAGAATGGGAGAATTATCGTATATATATTTATATATATTTATATATATATATATTATATATATATATATATATTTATAGTGTATATATATATAATGTATATATGTATATAATGTATATATATATATTGTATACAATGTTATTATAATGGGATGTACGTTATATAATGTATAACCACTCTCAACCACTCTCAATTATCTAAGAGGTACGTGATTATATAATGTATATAATGGGATCATATATATATATAATGGTATATGGTATATAATGTATATATAATAGGATTATAGAATGAAGGGAATGATGGTGTATATAATGGGATAATGATGGTGTATATCATGGGATAATGATGGTGTACCCGAAATGGTAAACATTAACACAAAACGATGGAACGATCCACCATTTTTCATGGGTAAATCAACTATTTCGACTGGGCCATTTTGAATAGCAAACTGTTTACCAGGCCGGGTATGTTTCATGGGATAATTATATTATACTGGGATACCCTATGGTAATTTAACATAGCTATGGAAATTCACCATTTTTAATGGGAAAATCCACTATTAATGGTCATTTCCAATAGCTATTTTGACATAACCAGAGGGTACTGGGATAATGTACTCACGTCATGACACCACTTGAATAGATGCGACGAGTTTTTTGAGGGGAGTCTGACTTTCCCCTCCCACTGGAGAATCATCGCGATGGGCGGCCCGGCGATTTCTATAGCTTTGTTATTGGTATAAAATACATATATCTGGGTAAATTATAACGACCTCACTGCGACCTCACTGGAATCATGGTTAATGAGGGAAATCATCCCCAAATGGAAATGGGCCTTAATTCAGGTTAGTGAAACTTTATAATTTACCCAGATATGTGTATATATATAATATACATATAGTAATAATAATAATAACAATAATAATAATAACAATAATAATAACAATAATAATAATAACAATAATAATAATAGTCACCACCAAAAAAAAGAAACGCAACACCCAACTAAACCAGTATAGATTGAACCTGATTTTTTTTTGGGAGTAGCTCTATGTGATTTCTGGTGATTTAATAGATGGGATGTTGATGTTTTTCTTGTTTCAAGATGGGTTTAGCCATGTTTTCTGTAGCCCTTATGACAAGCAGATGGAGATCACAGGGTTTTTGAAACCAACCATACCAGGCATATCACCATATGACACCTGCAACATGGACCCATTTATGGATTCAGCTACTCATTCCATGGCCTCTTTCTGTAGGGTCGTGCGAAATCGGCATGGCGATTGAACTGGGAGGATCCTGAGGGATCGCCAACAAAAAATGGAGAAAGCAGCAGTTTCATCATATCCCAAGAATGTTTCATCATATCCCAAGAAAGATCCAGCATTTTTCAATATTTTTCATGGGTAAATCAACTATTTCTATGGCAATTTTCATGGGAATGGTGTATATTTCATGGGATCTGGGTAAATTTCATCACGACCGAGCCCTGTTCTCCCTCACTATAATCATAGTTAGTGAGGGGAATCATCCCAAAATGGCTGAACTATTCAGGTGAACGTGAACTATTATAATTTACCCAGAATAATGTTTTCATAAACAACTGTCATTTTGTGAAGGGAAATACACTCTGGTTATGTCAACAGTTTGCTATTGAAAATGGCCATTTATAGTTCATTTTCCCATTCAAAATGGTGATTTTCCATAGTTGTGTTAGTTTACCAGAGGGTAAAACATGGTACATCATGGTAAAACCCAGGTCGTTGATACAGAGTGATACAAAGTGACCATGTTGTTGATGCTGAAAAATCGTGGCGCTCCAAACTCAGATATTTCAAGTGCCCCCCAAACTCAGGTTCCACTTTGGTGCGAAAAAATAAACCAGGGAGTTATGTCATAGAATTGGATGATGGGACAATTTACTTCGGAAAGCCCAAACAATTTGATGGTAAAAACCCATGGGTTTCCGGTTAAGATTTTCCCAACAAAACCAATCCAATGATTATGACATGATGTTTTTTTTTTTTGTGGGGATTTTTTGGATGGGCCATGTTTTGAGCCAACATTTTTTCGGTGGGGTAACTAGCTTGTCGACGGAGGTCTACTCTGAGCCACCCAGGGGCTTGGAGTTCGCCGACAAACGCTGAGTGAAATTTTTGGAGATTTGACCCCAGAGAAGATGTGACCCAAAAATATTTGGTTGGTGGTTTGGAACATTTGGAATATTTTTCCATTTCATATATGGGATAATCATCCCAACTGACGAACTCATATTTTTTCAGAGGGGTAGGTTGAAACCACCAATCAGTAGTGAAATGCCCAGTCGAAATAGTGGATTTACCCAGCTATAAGCTATGGTGGATCTTTCCAGAAAGTGATGTGGCAGTTTACCAGGCCGGGTAGTCTCATAGAATTGGATGATGGGAAAAATTACTTCGGAAAGCCCAAAGAATTTGATGGTAAAAACCCATGGGTTTCCGGTTAAGATTTTCCCAAACAAACCAATCCATTGATAGTCCATTTTCCCATGGTTTTCCTATTAAAACCTCCATTTTCCTATGGTTTTCCTATTAAAACCTCCATTTTCCTATGGTTTTCCTATGGTTTTCACTGAAGATTTTTTCATCCTTTTTGCTTCTCCCCGTGATGACACCAGGGCCCCCATGGACCCATGAGCGCCGTGCCGGGCGTGCCGGGCGTGCCGGGCGTGCCGGGCGTGCCGGGCGTGCCGATGGCCATGTGCCTGGACTCCACGTGCCGATGGGCTATGGAGTTAACTGGGTAGGTATAAGATGTGGATTAATATGAGCTATGGTCAATACTCATGGTTAATAACCATTAATAGGGGCTAGTCATCCAATGGTTCATAGGGATTTATAATAACCATTATAAGGATCCTTATTATGGATGGGATGACCATCAACCATATAGTGAGTATTGACCATGGCTCATATGGTAATGGTATAATATCACCAGTGAATATGGGGATATATTTTTGGATTATTATAATCCCTAATATGGTTTAATATGGGATAATAATGGGATAGTCATGGTATAATAATGGGATATAATAATGGGATAGTAATGTGGTATAATAATAATGCTATGATATGGCATAGTAATGGGATAAGAATGGGATCTTAGTTAAAAAAGTTAGTGTTTGTGAATTATCATCAGGATAGTTCGTGGTTTATGGCCTAGTTACTACCCGGTTAGCTCATCCCATTCATTACAAAACGGAATATCATGGAACTACTGAGATTTAAACAAGATAAATCTCGATTTCACCAACAAAAACTGAGTGGTTTGGAACATTTGGATCATTTTTCCATACAGTTGGCAATGTCATCATGCCAACTGACGAAGTCATATTTTTCAGAGGGGTAGGTTGAAACCACCAACCAGAAAAAGTTGTGGTGTTTAGATATCATTGGTATAAAAAAAGGGACGCTCCGGTCATCAACCGTGGCACCCCTTGGAAGATCAACTATAAATGGAGGCGATAACCTTCCAGTATCAGAATGACAAAGCAATAAGCCTATAAGTCTATAAGCAATAGTTTAAATTGTAACTATATTATACATATTGACCAATTGTATATATATATATATACATATTCACTGCAACTATATACACGTACCTACCAATAAACTTATACATACATATATTATATTATACATACATAATATATATATATATATTATACATATATATATATTATACATATATATATATATTATACATATATATATATATATTATATATATATTTATTATACATATATATATATATATTATATAATATTATATATATATTATATTATATTATATTATATATATATATATGTGTTATACGCAATTGTAGATGCATATCTATTATGCAACTTAAAGACTCAGATATTGCACACAAGACAGCTTGCTGATCACACTGAAGTTTCATGGCATCTTTGGACCGCAGGTTGAAGCAGATTCCGTCGCTGAAATTTGAAAATCTTCGATACCCTCTGGTTATGCCAAAAGTTTGCTATTGAAAATAGTCATTTATAGTGGATTTACCTATTGAAAATGGTGGATCTTTCCATAGTTCTGTGGCAGTTTGCCAGGCCGGGTACATGGCATGGGAGATCTGAGAATTTCCAGGTTGAATCCTTAGTAAAGATCCCATGGGGTTTTCGAAACGCAATTTCCCGCCAAAAAACAATAGGATTCTCCAAATATTGGAAGATTCAAACAGATAGGATATATATATATATATACCTGGTTGGTGGTTTGGAACATTTTTTATAATCCTTTCCTTTGACTTTCATATTTTTCAGAGGGGTAGGTCAACCACCAACCAGACAAGCTGGTCATTGTCGAAAATAGACTCTTCCCTGACAGTAACATATGATCAAGAGAAATTGTTGCAGTGTTCAAAACCCCTGTTGGTTGATGATTAGTTGGATTATAAATAATCCAATAGGGGAATCCCTATTAACCAACCGAATACTGAAATACTATAGTTTATTGAAAATTACCTCAGTGTGACGAGATTCACCAACAAACAGGGCGAGAGGGACATGCCATATAGCTCACATGTGTGGCATGCACCTGTTTTTGATTTGGTTCATTGGTTCATTCCCAAAATACACCCACCAAAATTGAAGATGGAACCCGAAAGTGCTCTGATTATTACCCGAAACGGTAAACATACAAAAAAACTATGGAAAGATCCACCATTTTTAATGGGTAAGTCAACTATTTCTATGGGCCATTTTCAATAGCAAACTGTTGACATAACCAGAGGGTAGAAATTGATTTCCCTTTTTTTCATATTCCATGTTAACTTGACGGCGTATCAATCACCCATGTCCTCATTGATATCAACAGTCAGAATTGATATAATATCATATCATACTTCCATTGAAACCCCATTCATATCCATGATCATATCCAACAAATCATCCATCAATCGGGATATATCACTCGTTTTTTCCCATAACAATCCCATCAGCCGTCCATATCCATCAGCTGGTCATATCCAATCTCCATGGAAATCCCGACAACAGAGTCTTTATCACCATGACCGGTAGAAAATGTAGATATCATCTGAATCCCAGTAGAATATCCCAGACATTTCCCATAGAATATCCCATTATTTGAACTTGAAGCCCCATTTTGACTTTTCATATCCCATTAATTAGATAGTAGATATCCCATTTCAAGTCCATTTTTCTGAACTTGAACCCTTGAACCCCCATTTAGACATGATTGAAAACTCTCGTTAAATACCATTGATTGAACTCCCAATCGCAAAAGACACACCATCTGAGGCCGGCAAATCCGCAGATGCCCGCTGGCATGTGGCTGGGTTGCGGTTTATGAACCGGCCAATGGGGACCTTTTTAAAAGTCGTATGTTGGGGGTTATAAATGGTGAACAGAATGGTTGAAATCAGCATTTGAAACCTCACAACTTCAAAGTTTTGTTGAGAAGGATAATTATCCCATTATTATGATAAAGGATGATGATCCTATCATTATGATTATATACCATCTGGTTATGACTAACAGTTTGCCATGGAAAGATCCACCATGCTATTAAGAACGGTAAACCCAGTTGTTCACCATCTATTTCTATGGGCCATCTATACCATGGCGAACTGTTAGTCATAACCAGGTTGGGTAACCATTGTTATTAACCACTATTAACCACTATTAACCACTATTAACCATAGTTAACCATAGTTAACCACTACTAACCACTACTAACCACTACTAACCACTAAAGACTATGACTTCACGGTGAATTCCCACGTGGAATTCACCGGTGGTAAACTTCGAAGATCGACTCTGCAGATCCAGCCGTGACTTGTGGTTAAACTGGCCATGGCCGAACCATGGCATAGCCATAATGATGATGTTAAGGTGTCTATAAGATGATGATCCTTTAATTTTCTGGGATGTTTATAAGATGATGATCCTATAACGGTTTATAACCCATATGCTCCATGGTAAACTGGTATATACAAACCTACAAAACTGGCTGATTTTGGACTAGGGCAGTTTTGTAGGGATTCATATTCCAGCACCATGGTTCACATATGGCATAGATGGGGAAATTGCTTATTTGAATTTGTGTTATACAAGAAATTGTGTTTGTGTGTTTCCAGCGCCAAGTTTGTTTGCTGAAGGGTACACACATTGTTTTGGATCAACTGCCGTTGTTGCTAGTGTTTGGCCTTGTTTGGGGCCGCAGTTGAAACCTTGTAAATATTGTAAGTAAATAACTGTGTGTATTTAACGAGATTGGCAAGAGCAGGATCAACCAATGATTTGAACTTCATTACCCAAAGAAATGGAAGAAAGGGACATTGTGCAAAAGACGTCCTACATAGACAAATGACATCACACGGGACAGGATGGTACAGGCAAAGATCACAACACATGTTCATGAAGATCGGCTGGCAAAGTGCATCAAAATGCAATGCAGGGCATAGATCCAACAATTTTTCCGGTACCAGGCTACCAGGGTGTGCCTGGTGTCCCCGCTTGTGATGAAGCGAAGACAGAAACAGCTCCTGACAAAGTAAGGTTAACTGTGGACATCTGTGGACAAATGAACCCCGGTTCAAAATCAAGGAATATCAAGGAGGTCGGATACGTTCCTGGTTTTTAGATGTTTTTTAGGTAGTCGTATCACTGATCAGCATTTTAGTTGGTTGCATTGTACATCACAAGTGTAGCTGGTTCCATCCATATGTTTTCCGTTGGACAAATATGCCTTTCTAGGTCACCTAGGTCCTCCGAAAACAATTGAATATGAAAAAGTCTACTGTAATTGTATTGTATGTATATATCATATATATAATTATATATATATGTCCACATTTGTATGTTATATCAATATATGATATTGAATACATGAACATGTCGTAGATAGAATATAGAATCGTGTAAACAATGCCATGTAAACAATTCATTGCACTATAATATTATGATATTTATAGTATACATACATAATATATATTTTGCCAGTTGTGTTATTTTTGCAAGCAACGTTTTGACATGTTCCAGACGTCAGGATGGCCGGTCCCATGGGTGGTTTGCAATTGCCATCTCCTGCGCAGCTTCAGCAAATGGCACCGGAACAGTGGCCTGGCCGAACAGCGACTGCCCTGGCTGTTGGTTACTGTATCCGGCGGGAACCAATGGGAGATTCCCTGGTAGACCAAAAAGTAGATGTGATGAAATTGGGATAAACAAATGGATTTCATTGGAGATGCAAAATGCTACACCCAGTTCTTTGGTTTGTTTTTTTTTTTGACCCCCTATGGTTCACAGTGGTAAACTCTGGGATGACACCAGCGGTGTCATTAAAGGTGGCGAGCGGGTGTGTTGATACACTTGATACCCGAGAGGATAAAGCCCGAAAAGTCAGCCCTCAATACTCCTTAATCGGCCTTGATTTTTGGGTCGGGTGGGCCTCAATCATGATGATATTCCTCCCTTTTCAGTTTCGTTTTCCTACTATATTCACTAGACATCCAACGATCCATTCACGATCGATTCCCTTCATTGATCGAGGTTGATGCAATGGCAAATGATGTTGCAGAGCCAGATGCAAATGCCACCCGGTTGCGATCAAAAGTGGCTGGCCCTGTCCACAGACCTATCCTTTTAATCAATGGGAGATCTTCAAGATCCAACAGATGGAGGTACTGTACTAGTACCATATGTTTGGCCATATGAATTGTGGTGATATTCACGCAAACATAGGCCTTATCTAGGCCTTATATATGGTAGGTACCTCCATTTTAGGTTCCTGAAATTCCCATTGATTTAAGGGAGCCTAAACTGGCCAGATCTGGCCAGGGATTTGGCGCCCAGCTCGATGGTATGGCACGCCCATTGTCGCATTTACCCTCTGGTAAACTATACTATGGAAAATATTGGAAAATCACCATTTTTTAATGGGAAAACTCACTATTTCTATGGCCATTTTCAATAGCTTTTTGTATGTTTACCAGAGGGTATTGCATTGACATCTCGTTGATACAATTCCGATTCATATTACATCAACATCCCGTGAAAAACCCCGTTCAGATCCCATGAGAATGACGATCTGCCAATTTTTGGTTTAACAAATCATCATTAAAAGTTGGTAAATACATTCCCTTACGATTTCCATTAGTATTCACATTACATCTTCCCACCAAAATGGCTTATCTTTTTTTTTCAGCCACCAAAAGGACGGGTATTCTTCGTTTGAGGGTCATGCAGCTCCTCCAGAGCAAGCAGAGTCAGATGCCACAGGCGGGCCTGGGATTTTTTGTTGGTGATTTAAGCAGCAGCCAAAATAGGATCTTACCCAAAAAATGCGATTGAGCATTTTTTTTGCCAAAAACAATTGCACTTTTACACAGATGTATATTTTTGATTTGTATATCCAAACAACATGGGATTTCTGACTAACACAGACACTGGATGTAAACCAAGAAGAAGTGCATTTTTGCTTGCAACAAATGGGTGTTTCCAAAAATTACCCTCTGGTAATTTAACGTAGCTATTGAAAATGGCCATTTATAGTGGATTTACCCATTAATAATGGCCATTTTGAATAGCTATGTTAAATTACCAGAGGGTATCGTTTTGATCGTTTTACCTTGCGCAACATGGAGCCAGAAACTGGGATTTTTTGCCATGATGAAGCCATTGAAATCACCTGTGGAGTGCAGTTTTTGATGATCCACATGTCCGTTGTTACAGTTGGCAGAACAAAAAAACAACATTTAATGGTGGTTAATACTGGTTAATAATAGTGCTTAATAATGGTTAATGAGATAATCTGGTTGGTGGTTTCAAACATTTTTTTTATTTTACGTAATATGGGATAATCCTTCCCATTAACTTTCATATTTTTCAAGATGGTTAAAACCACCAACCAGTATTTCTTCTTCGTGGTTGTGCTGTAGCTCTATATTAAAGGTAATCATATCGGGTAATGAATTCATGATAGAACATGTCATATCCTGTGGGAACAACTTGTCTACTGGGTTGAACCTTTTTTTTGTCCCACTCTTTGCAGTCAAATTGGTATCAGACCTACCGACCGTACTAAACAACCCTCAGAGTTGACAAGGGCATATCATGCACATACATATATATATATAATATACGTATACATATATATATATATATGTGTTCATGCATGTCTAAACTTCGATAGTTATGGGCCAAATATTTATTTTTGATTACAACTTGTCAACACGTATATATATATACATTATATATATACATATATACATATACACATATACATATATACATATATACATATATACATATATACATATATACATATATACATATATACATATATACATATACACATATATACATATATACATATATAAATATATATACATATATATACATATATATATACATATATACATATATACATATATATATACATATACTGTGATTGGCACCCTGACCAAGCGTAGCCACCAAAAGATGCCCTGCACCTTTTCCAAGACGCCAATGGCTCGATCGCCACTCCGCAGCCCACCCCCTTGAGATGAGCGCGCGAAAGCAAAGGTTGGACATGCTGATGTCACTTAGTTGACAGTTGGACCTGGAAATTGAGTAGATTTCACACTCCCCCTAATCTGAAAAATAGTCCTACCAGTCCAACTGAAAGGTGTGACAGCATGACCACGTGAACCTGGCCAAAAATCCTTTTCATTCCATTGTTCCCCGTTGGATGCATTTCCAATAGTAACCCTTTGGACTCCAAGCTCCCGGATATCTACCGGACAGCCAGCTACCCCTATTGGTGAGAACAATCTTCTTCGGGGAACATGGTGAATTCGGATGACCTGTCCTTGTGAATTGACTTCCCAAGCGTCCTCCAAAGGGACAACTGAATTCGTTGGAACTTCATTGATTTCTGACGTGACTTCTTTTGCCCATTTCAGCCGCTGTTTCTTGTCTGACCTCTGTTGAAGAATCCTTCCCTCATCATAGAGAGCATACTTCCCACTACGTAAACACTCCCTTAGAACAGTGGAATCCATACTTTTGGTAAGACAGTCAGCCAGTTGAGCATTGGAAGTCACCCAACGTACCGTGCAGTTTGACTGCAGTCGTTCACGAATCAGCAAACATTCTATGGTGGTCCGATGTTCTTCACACTGTGGCAGAGCCGTTCTTGTCAACAAATCATAAGCGCTTTTGCAATCCGTGACAAGAGATGCCCTTCGGGCCTTACAAAGTGCTTCTTCGGGACTCCTCCAATCCACTTCAGGGTTATTGAGCCACTCCCACAGCAAGCGGATCCATAGAAGCCTGTCAACTGCTCCACTCAACGCTATGGCCTCAGCACCTAAAGTGCTTCGGGTAACCCGATGGATCTTTTTACTGATCCAGGCAACCGGAGCAACAACCGCTTTTCGGTTTTCTAAAAGCTCTGGAGTTGTTGCAAACACAAGACCACCTTGGTGAGCATATTTCTCTTTTCCAGAAAGAAAGGAGGCATCCGAAAAGGCACAAAAGGAAACAAGTGATGGAGCAATAGGAACAGCCATAAGTGTGACCTGGTTCACCTTGGCCTCATGAAGAACCTTATTTGCACCAATCAAATCTTGAACAGTGGCCTTTGGAACACATGCCTGGAGCTCTCCAATCTTTGCTGCCAAGTCCGGTCTCGTGTGGACCGCAGCGTACTGCAAAGCCCCTACCAAGCTTCTGAGCTGCGTTGTTTCTTCCGCAGTGATCTGGCTATTGAGTTGGGTCCTACGATGACGAGGAATTTCAAGAGGCTGAATCCTTTCGATGTACTCAACTTGATCATATTCAACACTCTTATCATCCCATTGCTTGAAACGTATCCCCGTAAAGGTGAAAGACCCCTTTTCAAAGGAACCAAAATTGAAATGTTTTCGAATCCTATTCAAAGCGTCCATGAACTTGGAATCACCACCTCCGATCCCATCATCAACATGCACTCCAATTGAGCCATGGACAATGATTTTCCCGGAACTGTCCTTGGAAGTGAGGGTGAAAACACAAGGATCCATTGGACACTGTTTGAACCCCTCACTCAGCAATGTGTCACGAAACTTGCAGAACCACAAATAGGGAGCATCGACCCTACCATAGGCCCCGCCCATGAGCTGACACTGGTCACCTTCAGCCATGCCAAGTGCTTCGGCCAGTTCCGGTGGTGGATGAATTCCAAGCAAACGGCCATCCCCTTCGCCATGCAAAAAGGCTGTTGATATGTCAAAGGATATAAGATCCCAGCCATGGCTACTAACCTGTTGGACAATCATTTGCCGACCATCCTTTGACAACGTAGGACTGTCGTTCTGAACAACACCAATACCAGGGTCCTCAAAACCAACAACCACTAGCCTGGCCTTTCCTTTCTGTCCATTTGACACATCATTTGGATGGTCAGCTGGGGATGCACTCTTCCACGACAGGATCCAACGACACCTCATGATTGATGCTTCGGGGATTTTCCCTTTAGCAACCTTGCGAACTGTGGAGTGCTTCAACCAAGCACCAATCTCTTTGCGTTTTGCAATGGCCATCCTCAGTTGATCTTCACTCTTCAAAGTACTGAGTTTGACCTCCACTTTTCGCTTTTTCGTGTCGGACACTGTCAGTACACTTTCATCAGCTGAGCTGGCACACAACGCTGATACTTCCTGGTGTTTTTCCAGAGGTATCTCAATTTCCCAAAGATCCCAACTCTGTTCCTCAGATACAAAACTAACATCATCCCCAAACAACAACAAACCAGATTCATCACCATCATCACCAACAGAAACATCAGAAAAATCAGAAGGTACAGGAACCTCATGTGGCTCAACATGTTCAGAGTCGGAATCGGGAATCGGTATCTCTCTGGGACTGAGAGCTTTGTCGCCGTCAAAAACTGGTGGTTCAGACGCGGTTTGAGATTCAGCTGATTTCTCACCATCAGGTTCTGCAATGGACTGTTCCAAAATTGATGGCTCATATTCACTATCATCTAGATGTACAGGAATCTCATCTGCTTCAAGGTCTATGAACCCTCCATCTTTAAGAGACTGAGAAAATGACGACGGAGAAACGTGCCCAGGAGTTTCAGGTGTTTTCATTTGTTTCCATTCTCTGAAGCTGGCTGGACGGATCTGCTCAGGACTAGCACGGATGAGTTTGCCACTGTGGTTTAACCAAACATTTCGACTACCTTCAACAGCAACTACACTGGCTGGACCAAACCAACGTCCCCGCTCCCTCTTCAAATTGGCTCCCTTTTTCCTCCAATATAACACTAGGTCTCCTACTTCATAGGGTCCCCTCAGTGGCCTACTTCTCCGAAGCAATGCACGCCGCAAACTTGATGAATTATCGGCATCTATGAATGCCTTTCTGGCAAGGCTGCGGCATTCCAGCGACTGGCGGAACCTGTCACTTGCAGGTCCTTCGCCCTCTGCAAGAGACAAACTGCCAGCGCCAGCATCAGATGTCAATGACCCCGGAAGCCGACGAGCTATTCCCAAAACTGCCTGTTCTGGAGAGTAACCCTTAATTCTTGATAAACTGTTCTTGGCATTGAAGGCCTGAATGAGGGAAGCTTCGAATTCCCCTGGTGTCCTAATTGGTCTTTCGGCATCCATTTTGTCCAACATCCTTTTGATGACTGATCCATGAATTTCAACACGGCCTAGTTGCCAATGGGCTGAACCAGCTGTCATCTTGATGTGCACATCCAGAGACTGCATCTTATCCCTCCACAAATCAGACCTGTACTCTGCCGCGGGATCTAGGTACACTGTCTGTGGTGGACCTGCCCAAAGGAGCCACACTCGTTCAAAAATCTTGATTTGAGTTTCTGTGTCAGCGCTGGTCACAGGAGCACCTACATGAAACAAGGTTCCCTCGTCAATGACATGAGTGAAAGAGTATTGATGTCCAGTCCCACTCGTCCAAACACAAGTATCAACCCCCACAACCTGATTAAAACCCAAATCATCATGAATAACTGCTGGCCTAGACAACTCGAAACCTCGTTTTGATTCAGTGCAACTGTCACATTGAAAGTCCGCTGCTCCACACACGATCTTTGGATCGGCATGTCTCTCCTTCAGAAACTTGACAAAACGGTCAGTTGCAGGGTGACCCAAGTTATGGTGGAGTCTTCGAAGTTGAGATTGCTCTTCCAAGGTAAGTTCCAAAAACCCAGGTCCATGACGTGCTACATTCTTAGGTACCTGTCTAGGGTTAATCTCCATGTCAACATCTCCCATTTCCCCAAC